ATCATTTATAGGACATCCTTTAACTACTTATTAATCAGGAAGTTGTTCATCAGCTGATGAAAAATTGAAACTATTATTAATAAAATGATTGTTCTAATCTTGGCTAGTTCTAGTTCAACCGTTGATGGAGTAGCTTTGATTAAACAAGAATAGATCAAATCATTACACATGAATATGACTTGGATACTTTTTCTACTAACCTGTACATTCGCTATTTGCCCACGAAAACAAAATGAATTTTCTTCTACTTTGCCAGTAATGAAAAGCATCTTTAGTAAAATGATTTTCAAGACTTTATGAGTCTTAGTGCCACTGTTAGAGTCGTTACTTTGAGCCACAAAGATTGAATATCTAATTTTAAGGATAGTATCGCAATTCTTTTTCTATTGGTGCTTTAACAGAGATTGAATGTGTAAGTTGATGATACGATTACAATGCCTTTCTATCGGTGCCTTAACAGAGATCGAATACGTATGTAGACGATAGGAATATGATATTTTACTGTCGGTAAATTATAAGCCAACCGTTAATGTCGTTCTTTTGAGTAACAGAGACCGAATATGTAAAGTTAAGGATAGGATTGTGATCCTTTTCTTTTAGCACCTTAGCTCGACATCGACTATAATTTGACTAATCTTCCGGTGGATTCGGAATGAATTGAAACTATTTTTAAAAAGGATTGCTGTCGTCAATTTAGACCCACTAAAATGGAATAAGCAGTCCTTAGATGACGATGTTCTGCTACTAATTTGTACTTTGAAATTGGTCATTTGCCAACATAATTGATTTCTGCCAAAGCTTCAGAATAAAACAGATCTCTTATGAATATAGACTATAGTATATTACAGAACCGGTAGTAGAAGATCCGTGGTTAGATTAATAGTGTTCTTAATATTGTTATTTCTCCCAACGATAGAAGCTGTAGATAATCAGTTCTGTATAAGATTACTCAGGCTTGATCAATCAATGCCCACTTAAATCCATTGATTTGCATTTTAATTTGTTCAATGACAAAAGTCTCGAATAAGGTCATTGACTAGATTAAGTTCTATTCTTATTGTTCCAATTCATTAACCTGTAAGAAATATTCAAATCAACTATTTTAATAAGCTTTTTGTATTTATTTGAAAGTGCCATTAGAACCCCGTTGATCGAAAAATTCAGTTAATAAAGCTTTATGCCGCTGCAGTTCTTGCCTATTATAATTAATGAGACTTTAAAGCAGAAAGTAACTAATTAGAAATTTTTTTACGATTGCGTAACCAATGAATCGATTTGGATGGAGATTTTGAAAGTTTAATAGATAGAAGGCAATAAGATTGAAAAATTCTAGACCAATTTCTGACTAATATACGAAATTTAGGCAGTTTAGGAAACTAATGAATAGGCTTTAATTATATAGTTATGTACGATTCCAGATGGGCAAAAAGCAATATAATTAATAAGAAATTTTTAGAGCTATTTAATTCTTGTCAAGATACGCTAATAGCCAGCTTACAGATATTACCATATCTATAGGCTGGAATAAAAATATCAAACTTTTCACCTTTCTGCAGTCAAACGGAGAATTTTAAAGAAGAGAGAGTAATCAATTCTGCAGAGATGTTAAATTCAATAATCGTATTTGTTTACAAATGAATTAGATATATTTTACACCTACCATTAGTGATATCTTAGACTTTTTTAACCCTTATGTGAATTTCATTTCCATGATAGGGTCTTAAATATCGATCTACTACTATAAAGCATGCATTTACAATATATTGCCAAGATTAAAATTTTTTAGTATGAAGTGCTAACTGTTATTCCTAACAATCATACTATGAAATAAGGATAAAGAGGAAATGAAATGGACTACTTGAAATTATGACAATACTGCGTATAAGCCATGATTTCGTGGTGTGATAATTAATTTTTTTCTTAACTTTGACAAGATTTTTGCAAAATAACGATTGAAAGTTGATTAAACCACCAACTAAAATATATTCTCATACTTTTCTATTCATATTGATATCAGGAAAAGATTCGATATTTGATGAATATCTTGTGCTATAAATCCCATACAGTAGATTACAAATGGAACATATCGGGAAGCATGCACTGTGTATCAAGTAGCTTACTTCTGCACTAAAACATACTGCCGATTAGAGATTGTATAACGACTAATTTCAACACTTCGCTTTACGATTACATTGTACTTGAAATTCGACAGGATATGGGTAAAGTGATAGAATCATTCAAATTTTAAAAAGAAAACTATGACTGCTTAATGTCTAGATCAACTAAGATGCAACAAGTTAGAACCATCCTAATAGAATAGTAGTGAGCGAATGTTTACATGAATCTAATAAAATTTATTTTTCACAGTCGGTCAGATACATCTTTCAAACAGATATAAATCGCACTCTTAGTATCGCTACTCTATATGACAATTCAATTTGCTCCCGATATGATATACTTTAACGGTACAAAATACCATAAATTATATAAAATTGGCCATAACTCAGGGGTAGCTTTGAACTCAGAACTATCCTAACAGAAGAGTAGCGAGCGAATGTTTGCCAACAGCAAATAAACTATTCTTTAAGTTAAAGTCGATCAGTACTTTCAAAAACTGATAGAAATTAAATTCTTAGCGCTATAACTGCGTTTAATAATTCTGTCTTGACATGTTATACTTTAATAACGGTACATGATCACATAAACGATAGGAAATTGGCTATAACTCGAAAATATTTTTGACTCAGAACTATTCCAATCGAACAGTAGCAACCGCATGTTTGCGAAAAACAATTACAATCACAATTATTTTTGCAGTCAGTTGGTTAGATCTTTCAGACCTATATATATGGAACTCTTGGCACGGCTGCCATATATAACAATTCTCTCCCGATAAGGTATACTGTACTTTAACGATACAAGACACTATAAATCGTAGAAAATTAAACATAACCCGAGGATAACTTTGAACTCGGAACTATCTTAATAGAACAGTAGCGAGTGGGTGTTTGCTAGAAACAAATAAAATTATTCTTTACAGTCAATAGTTACATTTCAAACTGATACAAATAGAATCCTTAGCGTTATTACGGTACTGGTATGCAACAATTTCGTCCTGATATGATATATTTGAAGGATACATGATAGTATAAATGATCGGAAATTGGCCATCACTCGAGGATATTTTTGAACTCAAAACTATCCTAATGGAACGGTAGCGAATGAATGTTTGCTAGCAGTAAATAAAAACTATTCTTTACAGTCAATTTGTACCCAAAAAATTATAGAAATCGAATTCTCTGCACTATCACTATATGTGATGATTCTGCCCCGATATGACATACCGTACATTAATAACGGTACGTGATAGTATAGAAGATAGGAAATTAGCTATAAATCGAGGATATCTTTGAACTCCATAATAGCAGCGAGCGAGTGCTTGCTAGAAACAAATAAAACTATTCTTTACAATTAATTGATCACGTTTCAAACTATTATAAATTGAATCATTTTTCCTACTAAATGTATTATTTTAATATTCAGACATATACTATATAGCAGCCATAATAATTCGTTATTTTAGAAAGCCATATTCCAATATTAAACTAGTAATAATTATATGAAAGGTGTAATATTTCATGACTAGCTACATTTATCTGCAATAGTCTAATAGCGTCTAACGTGATTAATAAAAGAAAAGCTAATTGAAAACGTCCTAATAACTCCGCCTTAAAAAAAAATAGTTTTGTGGTATTTTGTTTACAATTAATTATTCATCTATGATAGGAAAAATTAATATGGTTTAATTTAAAGACCACACGTGCAATGAGACTTTTAAGGTGCATTTTGTTAATAATAATTATCAATTACTATAGAAGAATTAGTAATTTAGCTAAAATATTGCACCTTTAATGAGACTTTTATGCTGCATTTATTAACAAGAATTAATCAATTATAGGAAGAATTAATAGTTTAGCAAAAAGATCATACGTATAAAGAGACTTTTCATGTTGCATTTTGTTAACAACAATCAATCTTTTTTAGGAAGAATTAATAGTTTAGCTAAAAGATCATACTATGGTCGTATGATGAGACTTTTCTATTTGGTTAATAGCGATTAGTTTCTCATAGAAAGAATTAATCGTTTAGTAAAAGGTCGTACGTGTAATGATACTGTTATATCACACATGAAGAAAATAGATACCCAACTTAATTAGATTATTATTGGCAAACGAGTGCATAAAGAGCAGAAGATAATCTGCGATAAATCAAGTTAGCGTAGAGAATAATATGATAACAAGAGATTAATAACACTATTAAACAAAGGTAAAAGATATACAAACTATTCGAATTGACACTAAAGTGTTTAAATTTGCATGTAGACAACATGTATAGACAGATTCTATAGAGTTTGTATAACGATATTGTTAATTGCTTAAAATTAAATCAAAGTATAATTAGTATAGTTTACTAGTAAAAATTTTGAGAAGATTTAGATGAAATCCATTACAGAGGGTAAAGTGCAATTTTGTCCATACACCCCTATTACTAGTATACATAACTTAGCAATAATGAATCTAAATCCTTTGGCTCTACTAACTAAATGCCATTAGTAACAACTAGCGTATGAGCGTGTACCTGCTTTTGGGTCGATAGCTGCTATTGAAACTGCTAGGAGCTTGCTTCTGAACAAAATATTAGTTCATGATTGCAATTCACTTCATATGTGTTTTAGACCAATATTGAAATTACTATGGAATAGAACTAATTTTACGATTAAATTCCAGAGATTAACCTTAAATAGCTAACCGTAATGAACGATTGCATGAAACAGTCAAGTACCACAAGTTATGATAAAAAAATAGCTACGCCGTTGATACAGACAAGAACCCTTCAACTAACTAAAATCATGCAATCATTTCTAAAGTAATAGACTTGATTGAATTTAATCGACTAACTAGATATAAGATAGGCCATTGAATACTTTAGCTTGATTAAGATTACAGTTGACTATCTTTCAATTTGTCAAATAATGTTCTTTCCAGCAATTTCAGGCGTTGATTTGCTTTTTCATCCAAAGTCTGCCGGTGACTTTGTTGAAAGATCTGGCTTCCATTCGTCGCTTTATCAAATGTTGTTTTAATCAAAGGTAGTAATGTATTGCCAAGTTGGTCATGATTTAAATAAGTGGATATTAAGTGAAGTAATCGTTTTTCCATTAAACCGTTATGATCTTTAATCGAATCCCGATTAGAGCTTTTATTCGATGAAGTAGATAATTTACGAATTGTGGATTGAGCCATTTGTTGCAATCCTTCAGCGATGTGTATTTTAATATCATGGTCAGTATTAACATTCATAAGTAGATCCCAAAATAAATTTTCGATATATTGCTTCTCTTCTGGCATCGAAGAGTTTAAAGCTACCAATTGATTAACAGCGGTTCTCTGCAAAATAGCATCATCACTACAGTTTAAAATATTACTCCATCTTATGTGCGCTGGCCAATGCTTATTATTCATGATATAATTACGGGTTTGCTTAGGTATGGCAATGGATTGTGTCGCCATATTTAACAACTGTTGAACAGCATAATCATCTTTTAAATTACCACCTTCGATGATAGCGTCAATTAAGAGGACAATCATGGCATCCTTTCGCTCAGTAACAATTAACGATAGAAAAAATTGGGATACATCGATACGAAATTTTTCACTAAACATGGCTTTATCTTTCAATTCATACAGTGCTTTACGGCGGAATAAGAAATTGTCATTACATTCAATGAGATATTTAAGATGATCATTTCTTAATAGCGATTTATTAATTAATTCTTCGATAATATAATTTTGTAATGCCTGTTGTTGATCTGATGAACCTGATGAGATAGCAATTCGCCATAATTTACTGACGATATCCTGTTGTTTAATTTTCTCCTTTGCCCAATAAATCATTGCATCGATTAATTCGTAGGCAATTTCACGATTGGCTGTACGTATATTCCTTTCCCAACGTTGTAATATAGTATCTTGTAAATCGAGAAAACGCCAGCCTAAATTTTGTAATGATTGTATAATTGTTTTTTTAACATCCATACGATGTCGACCTTGTAATAAAGCTAAAAATTCACCGATTAAATCTTGAAATAGTGTCGGATGTTGTTGATAATTTAGTTTATCAATAAAATTAACTAAAGCTTTACATGCTTCCAAGATGATACGAGCTCGATTTTCTTCTTTTAATACATCCAACATTAATTCAAATTTAGTGGTGCAAAATTTTAAGTTAAATTGATCTTGGAAAGCTTTTGCTACCGTCAATAGACGCAATGTTGATATCAATGTCAATCTTTGATCGACTGCATTTAAGTCGCTATCCCTTACTAAGAGAATATCATTACGAATTAATGATTCAACAGTAATGGTTTGCAATCGCTTATGAGGGGTTTCGGTTAGGATATTTTCAGCTAATTGCGATGCATCATAAAAAAGGGAATAATCATAAGGGTAAGGATATCCTTCATCGGATGATGCGCAACAAATGGTTTGGATACTTGTAATTCGTGTAATAATCTCTTCTTTATCATCTAAGCTATATTTATTTAATTTAATATTATAGAGTAATGCTTGGATCGCTAAAGCTTTACTTTGGCGTGTTTTCCCAGTCAATAATAATTGTAGATATAACGTAGGGAAATGATTTTGCTCACCCGATGGTATTTTATCCGCTACTCGAAATATTTTGTCATCATCATACCAATGATCGATAATCTCTCCTACCTGTGCATAATTCTGCACCAGATATCCCACGATAGTATTACGTAAGCCACAAAAATCCAAGTTAACTTCATTTTGGATGCGATCTAAGAATAAGCCTACAACCATTTCCTGGATACTTTTAGGGGTTGCATTATCGTTGGCAATTAATCGAATAGTCATGATGGCACATTGCTCATCCGCTTTTTCATTTGCTTCTAACTCCATCATAGGCTCGTATAATATAACTTTACCCCATAGTCGATTAATGATGAACGTTAAATCTTTTTCGTTATATTGACTTTGACGGATCCATGTGATCAACTTTCTTATTTCTGATTTCTCATCGTTATACCTACCAATTTCAGCCCAATTGATAATATCTTCTAAAGGATTAGAATCCTGATCGTTCATATTGTCAAAGTTTAATTTTTTTCGCTCTTTATTTTCCAAATGGTTACTTTCATCAGACATGTTATTAAAGGAATGAGGCAGCTGTGCCCGCTGGATTGAAAATATTTTTCTAGTTTTAAATTTAGTAGAGCACTTTATGTAAGATAATAAATTGGATTACGCCGTAGAGGATGGATTATATTTTACCGGGAGGAAATTAAAATGATCACTGACTTGCATCAGCGAGTTTAATTAAAGAATAAGGTAGTAGTGTCCACTGGATTGAAAATGCTTTTTAGTTTTATATTTAGTAGAGCACTTTATATAGTGTAGAAAGTTGGATTTAGATGTAGAAGGTGGGCTATATTTTCAGGAAAGGAAATTAAAAGGATTACTGAGTTGTATAAGCAAGTTTAATCTTGAATGAAATAAACAAGTATTGAGATCTTATCGATTAATAAAAGTTTGGCTAAAGATTGTTATTCAGTGATCACTTGGATGAATTAATGTTTTAGCTATTTTCTTGTAGCTGTTTACCTATAATCGCTCCGTGTAAAAGTAAGATGATTGGAAAAAACTCATTCACTTCAGGCAAGGAGGAATCTGAATGGCTCAGCTTGTATTAGTCTTGTTTATTCTTTGGGTAGCAACCGCCGAAAATTTTCAACACTTGGCTAGCGATAAGACTGGTAATACGAAACGAGTTCAATTCGTAAATTAATAAACTACTTTTTGAACTTGCGTTAGGATACGAAATAACTGACTAGATTAAATTGATGTATTCAAATGAAGAGAATTTAGACGCCCAGTTTTACCTGTTAGATCACAATAAAAGTCTTTCTACCGATGCTGTCAAGGCTTTTGTGGTTTTAATGCTAGCCTAGATTAATGAAGAAGAACAGACAATTTCCTGAGGTAGAAAAATTGAGAAATAGCATCCAGGGTGGGGCATCGAAGAGGAGACTTTTTCCTGCCGTTCTACGTTAAAATGATTGAATAGTGGCGCGTGGAAACCTAGTTGGCGCTTTTACCTTCTACATAACCACTGACTAATCTCGAATGAGAGCAGAAAAGGGAAAGAATGGAAGTAAGATGATAGATTTAAAGATGTTGGGAGGGATTAAAGATTCTTCATATCTATTGTCATGGTCGTGTAATTTTTTCGAGGACAAAAGCAAATCCGTAAGCGGTCCTACAGCAACATTGGGCTTGTCTATTACATCCATTTATTATTGTTAAATTTAGATTCATGTCGTTTTTAGTTATGCATAGAAGGATTCAAGCTCTGTTTGCCTTGTCTTGTGTTTTTTTGAATTTTCAGCATTTGAATTATAACAGTTATGTTATTGTTTTAATTAATAAGTCAGAGTAGTCACCACTAGTTGTGAAGATGAAATTGGCATAATTATGAAATCAAATAATAACATCACACTGTCTAGGTTGGACAAATGGGTTCATGTTGCAAAGAATCAATTGCTTACCCCATGTGAGGGCAGATCATGTCCAGACATTTGGAACTAATATTAAATAAATGGATATTATTTAGTTGAGATATATAAAGGAAGACAAATAAGGCTTTGGTCAAAGAATTTCGACTGCTTGTATTCTTTGAAAAGAAATCACAAATAGTTACTGATTGATTTCTATGATGACTGGTAATCTTAGTTTGTTTTTGGCTTAAAATTGCGAGCAGGAAATAGAAATCTGATTATAAACGTAAAACGGGAAAATACGGTGAAATAGACAATAAATTTCAATCCTGTACTAAATTTTTAGTAACCGCGGTTGGCGGCTATAATTTTTTTGATGCTTCTATATCATCTACTATCAGTTACGCTACGCGAAAAGTACGCGTATCAAGACTGTAGAGCATTTCCTTAAGTGATATCGATTGAGATTAATATGTAGAGACCTTTTATTCTTTATTACAAATCGTAGCAATTCTTTATTAATTCTAGTTATAATATCGATCATTTTTTTAGTCATTGTACTTAATAATGATATCCATGTTCTAGCGGAAGCTGTAGTTCGCTGAAAGATGACGGAGGGGGGCAAGACTGAAACCATTACATTACCTAATCGACTGGAAAATCGATTCCATAAGTATATATAGGCTATCCTGTACGATTTGCAGTAACCGATAGTGTACTAATTCCTTGTCTGGACGATTAATATGAAGTTGCATTTTGATGAAAATTATTTCTTCGTCTAATCGAGTTAGAGGCGGATTTTACTGGCGTTTATGACCTCTATCCATCGATCAATAGTTGTGTACCGTAACTGTATATTGGGTCGATAGTTTACATGAAGTAGGCTATTAAGGGAAATTATTTCAACTTACAATTATGTTGCAATGTTAATGCAACATAACTGTCAATAAGTAGATAAAATTTCCCTCATATCAATATTCATTTCTCTGTTGATTTGCGTTCGAATATGCCGCAAATGTTAGGAGTCAAAATAGAAATTTTAGCACATAGTTTTGAAAATTAAATTTACGTACCGTTTGCAATATTGTAATGGCATTTTAACTAGAAGTAACTCGATTACAACTTGACTTGAGTCAAGGATAAAGGCAATCAAAAGCGAATTTATTCCGTTTCACAATTTCATGAAGCTTATAGTCGTCTTCTGATTTATTGCCATAATCTAATTCTATGTTTTGGTCTAATTATAATATTTTTGATATTAACTATCAATAAATTCCTCCTTCGTTGTGAAGTTCACAGTATGATTAGGATTTTTGGGTCAGAAAGTAAAGTAAGCATTGCCTTTCTTGTCTGGTCGAACTATTTGTAATGATTCTAGTCAGTAATAAACTTCAAGGCACCATCGCTATAAACGAAGACATTGAACAAAATTGGTCGACCTAAGGTACACTTCACGTTTTGCCACTACAAATTTGAGAATCCCCACAAAAACTTTGGATCGTATCGATTTCCAAATGTCCAAGCTAAAATTTATATACGAACAAGGAAATTTCTGCGATATGTGTGTTTCGAATATATTACGAAATGACAATGAATAGATTATATTGCTAATATACAAAGTAAAGAGATGTTAATTCTACTGTCGGCCAAAGGTACAGTTACGGTACAGTATATTCAATTTTGAGTTTTCAAATTGCAAGAAACTTTAAAACGTAAACGCTCTTCGTTCATCACGCTACACTCGCTAAATATTCTAGTTGTGTAGTTAATATACAGGTGTATTGTAGTAAAGGTAAGTTAACTTATTTTTTATGCAGTGATGAATTATATCGTGATAGAAAGCCCCTTCAACTTTTCGAATAAGCAGACTATGTTACTTTCTTTCGTAAATATCGTAATCATGAACCTTCTTATTATGTTCGTGGTAGCTTAGAAAATTATTACTCTAGAATCGTTTATTGATCAATTAGTAAATCGTATTTATACATCTCCAAGATTACTTAGCTCATGGTTTACTTAACTTGTGATTTACAAGTGAAATAAGTATATCTATATCTACAGTATTACAGCATATAGTGAAATTATGTCATATCTATAATCAAGAGTAATTTCACAATCTAAGTAGTCTAAGGTAAATCCTAACAAGTACCGCTATCATCCAAATATATAACATTTCTGATACTAGAGAGCCTGCAATCGTTGGTCAATACTATCTAATAAACATTGTAAACAACCTCAAGCTAACTTGCCCTAGTATGAATACATAAGTATATATGCTCTTCTTCACCATAATCAAGTATTAAGAGATTCTCCGGTGTATAGTACATCTCAAATTGCCTTCAACGGCACAGAAAGTACCTCGAAATTGATTAAATCAAGCTAGTATTATATTTTATGGTATATAAAGTAAACTAGAAAGCGAAGCGTGAAGGTAAAGCAAAGCAAGATTTAGACATATATGTCCACATTAACAATTAGGTGAAAATGGATTTAGAGATTTGTATAATCCATTAAATCGATGAGAATTATAGATACTTTTATATACGAGAATATAATTATAAAGATGATGAACAGTGAATAGTAATTTATAACCTACTTTCAGTAATCTTATGAGTTGCATGCTTCTTACTTAGTATAATCAATTGCAGTATCGCGATTCTATTACGTTACTCTCGCTCTTATAATCTTAAATGAATTTTCCTCAATAATAATTACCGTACTTTAAAGACGATAGAATAATTCTCCAGTAGTAATTATATTTGGTAATTCTTCCATGGTATAATGAATGCAACATCTTTACGAATATCACTCCAATAATGCTATTATTCTCTATTCTCTTATTATAATCGCTATGTAAGGTGAATGTTGTATACTAAGAACTACTAATTAATTTAGAACTGCAGAATTTAGAGAATAAATAATCATTTCATCATTATGTTTATCGTTACTTTTGTATTTTCTGGCATATGTGTTATATAGATCGTATTGCAGTAAAATATATTGCGTTGACATATGGTTTAGAGACAAAGAAATAACTTTAAATGAAACGATCATATCGATCATTTGGAAAGCTATTTAAGGTTGTAGTTTCTGTCGAATAGAGCATTAGTGTCTACTTCCGCAATCTCATGCTCTCAATTTTTTGTTGTATATTGAAACATGCCGAAGGAATCTATCAAACTGACTGTTCCTGATGAAATCCAATCTGTTTACCGAAAAGGTGTGAAATTTCAGCAAGAAGGAAATGATGAACAGGCGCTATTCTATTACAAAAATGCTATTACAAGAATCCAATCCATATCCAAGAATAGTGATAATAATCACCTTCACCTTGAACTTGATATTTATATCGAAATGACTGATTGCTACATAAATCAATATGAATTGATGGAAGCCGGCAAATGGAATGGAAAAGCAGAGAAATTTGCCAAGCAACTACAAGATGAAGTGAAAATTTCAAATTGCTTAGATAGGCAGGGGCGTATTAAACGATTGCAAGGTAATTTGAATGAAGCTTTAAGTGATTTGAACAAATCGCTTGAAAATAAATTAAAACATTTAGGAACTGAAGATATCAGTATCAGTTATACTTATCACAACATTGGAAGTGTCTATGGTGATCAAGGCAAATATGGTGATGCTCTATTAATGCATAACAAATCACTCAAGATTAGACTAGCACAACTTGGTGATAATCATCCTGAAGTTGCTATAACATATGACAATATTGCTCTTGTCTATGGTAATCAAGGCAAGTACGATGAAGCTCTGTCAATGCATAACAAATCGCTCAAGATTAGGCTTACACAAATTGGCGATAATTATCCAATTATTGCTACAACATATAACAACATTGCGCTTGTTTATGATGATCAAGGCAAGCATGATGATGCTCTATCAATGTATAAAAAATCACTCAAGATTCAAAAAGCACAACTTGGTGATAATCATCCAAGTATTGCTTTAACGTATAACAGCATTGCACTTGTCTATATTGATCAAGGCAAGTATGATAGCGCTCTATCATTATGCAATAAATCACTCAAGATTCAGCTAGCACAACTTAGTAACAATCATCCAAGTATTGCTGAAACATATAACAACATTGCAAGTGTCTATAATCGTCAAATTAAGCATGATAACGCTCTATCAATGTATAACCAATCACTCAAGATTCGACTAGTACAATTTAGTGACAACCATCTAAGTATTGCTGCAACATATAATAAAATTGCAAATATTCACAAAGATCAAGGCAAATATGATGACGCTTTATCAATGCATAAAAAATCACTCAAGATTCAATTAGCGCAACTTGGTGACAATCATCGTGATATTGCTACAACATATAACGACATTGCAAATGTCCATTATCATCAAGGCAAGTATGATGACGCTCTATCAGTATATAACAAATCGCTTAAGATTATACTAACACAACTTGACGATAATCATCCAATTATTGCCACGATATATTACAACATTGCAAATGCTTATGCTGATCAAGGCAACTATGATGAAGCTTTATTAATGTATAATAAATCACTTAAAATTCGAAAAGCTATTCTTACTGATAAGTATCCAAGCATTGCTAAAACATATGACAACATTGGAAATGTGTATGATGGTCAAGACAAGTATGATGGCATTCTACCAATGTATAATAAATCATTCAAGATTAGACAAACTAATCTTGGCCATAAGCGTGCACGTATTACGACAACATATAACAACGTTGCTCTTGTCTATGATGATCAAGGCAAGCATGATGACGCTCTTTCAGTGTATACTAAATCACTCAAGATTAGATTAGCACAGTTTGATGGCGATTATCCAAATGTTGCTACAACATACAACAATATTGCGCTTGTCCATGCTGATCAAGGCAAGTATGATAACGCTTTATCAATGTTGAATAAATCGCTGGAGATTAAATTAGCAAGACTTGGTGGCAATCATCCTGATATTGCTATAATATATAACAACATTGCACTTGTCTATATAGATCAAAAGAAGTATAATGATGCTCTATCAATGTGTAATAAATCACTCCAGATTCAACTAGCACAACTTGGTAACAATCATATCGATGTTGCTACAACATATAACTACATTGCAAATATCTATCATCATCAAAGCAAGTATGATGACGCACTATCAATGTATAATAAATCACTCAAGATTAGACTAACAAAGCTTGGTGATAATCATTCAAGTATTGCCTCCACATATATCAACATTGCAAGTGTCTATCATCATCAACGCAAGTATGATAACGCTCTAATAGTATTGAATAAATCACTGAAAATTACATTAGCAAAACTTGGTGATAATCATCCAAGTATTGCTGCAATATATAATAATATTGCAAACGCCTATCAAGAGCAAAAGAAATACGACGATGCTCTACTCATGTATAACAAGTCATTGCAAGTTTCTTTAGCAACAGTCGGTGAGAATCATCTTAATACTGAGCAATCCTATCGAAATCAAGCTATAGTTCATCATCAACAGTCGAACTATAGTCAAGCAATAGCATTCTATCGAAAGTCTAGCAATACTCTACGCAATCTCTACGGAGAAAATCATCCGCAAATCCTCCTCAATGCGAAGCAGATTGCTGAATGTTCCAAACAACTGCAAGAAAACAAAGATACAGGTAATCAATCAGCTATCCTACCATTCCACACCATCATCAGGTGACTAGTGCATTTTAGTGCTAACTTTCTTATTTTGGTCAATAGAAAAAGAAAATAAAAATAAAAATAAAAATGAAAAAGAAGAAGTAGATGGTAAGTCTATATACAGTATTAAATCAAAGCACTATTAAGCTTAGTTGGAAGGACAAGTTGAAAGTAAAATCGAGTAGCGATAGTTTTAGTTGTTTTTTTAATTTTGGAATGAAAGTTATCGTATTTTTTTGTCAAAATACGATATTATCTTGGATTAATTCTACCCATACTAGAGTTACAATCAATTGCAACCAATAATTCGACCATAGAGGATCTAATCATTCAAACTTATTAAAATACTATTTTGTTTTTGGTCTCTCTTTCCACTAATCGTTCAGAGGAATAGTGCTTGAAGTATTTCGTTTAGAAAGAGAAATAACTTATGTGAAATGCTACCTGTTGTCTGCATAGCAACACTTCTGTTACGAATAAAATGAGCATTGAAGTAGCGATACGAGTATATGATTAAAACTCTCCCAAACAATAAGACAACAAGGTCATTTTGAGTTATTGTGCTAGTTGTGAAAAGAATATTATTTCTTTTCATCGAAATGCATCGATCATTCTTCACAAAATAAGGCTTGAAAAGGATCGTATCAGCAATTAAATGATCTCAAACAGAAAATTAGTTATACACATATGCAATATAAAAGTTAAACAATATCTGTTTGAACCGATGTAGATTAGTTACACAGTAAAGATGTAACCACTATATCATTTATTTTGCAGATACTCCTGATAGCATTGGCATTGGCATTGGCAATCATCAAGGATCATTTCATTTAAAGACGGTATCTGATTGCATTTCTCGTTAAAATAAAAGAATAAAAGTACATGTGGTGAGTGGAAATCTATATAATATAAGTTGATATTATACATTCAGTTTTATCATTCACTAAATGCGAGGACCGAATATCTAATATCTATTGTAGATGCTGCTGAATCACGTTCAATAACATAGATAATACAGTGCAGTGCAGTAGTTATATAAAGATATTTTACAGCAGATAGAAACAAAGTTATACCTTATTTTCATGCAGTATGATAGTTATTGGATCTCGCAAAGCATCAGGGAAGATACGTGTATGAATAACATCTCATTCTTAATTCTCTCTATATCTTCACTACCCCTTGTATCACTTTTTGGAGATTGCAAATAGAATTGGTATAGATTGCACAAGAATGGCTGCAATTCAGATCTATCCATCGATATTGATATAATCAAAGGTCGAGAGTGAGATTTTCGATCGAACAAAGAAATTTTTCGATATGTGGTTTCTAGAGAGTTATCCGAACGTTGCTATTGATCAACTTAAGGCAGTTTTGAAACGAATAGATGGAATGATATCATTTCAGTTATTATCTCTACTAAAAAATGAAAAGCATTTTTACGTTATGACATATTCACTATGGTTATATTATTGTCTTTGAAATAATAGTTATTTACAGATTGAAAAAATTGATTAAAAATTATTAGTCCTATTGTAACGAAAAAGTATTCGTATACAAAATTGTAACCGATATTTTATATTATCCAATAATTACTTGGAATCAATTTAGCTGCACTTATTCATACATGAAGTAAAATCATTTAAATAATTTGCACATTTTACAGTCTGTGCTAGTAATTAAGTAATATACTCTTAATTTATATATCAATTATAATGTGCAGTTGCACAACACCATACGAAATTAGAGGCGAAAGTAAACTACACTTTATTTGTTTAATTGATCAGCAATTTATTCCAATTAACTTATTTCTTACTTTGCCTTTTCTTTTGTACGTATGTTCGAGCCTGGTTATATCGGTTTTAACAGATCCCCAAAATTAATAAATCCTTTTACTTTTTCAAATAATGTGAATTATTGTCATTATATAATAAGAGATTCTGCAGTTAACATTGAGAACATAAACTGTGTACGTCGATTCATTGTCATAGTAGTGAAGCTAGTAGCTTTTATCAGTGCATATTCTCAATCAGTCACTTTCACTGAAACAGTGATAACTAATTTAACGAGAAAATCCTCTTCATTTCCACATGCTTCTGTTCTTGACGCTTGTACGCTTATATAATTATATATAATTCAGCGACGATAAAGATATAGATTATGTTAAATTACTCTCTTACAACAATGAAATAGGAAATACCAATACAGGTTCAGAGAATTAATACAGAATACCTTCTACTAGATGTTGCTTATACTACTATAATCTTATGCAATCAATCTACAGTACAATAGATATGTAAAGGCTATCTAATCGCTACATGACAACAGGAAATACCAAGATTTAATGTCGACCCAAGGTACAATTAAGGCAGTCCATTGCCTTGTCTTCACGATCAATATTATATTTGCTTTATCATCTTATAGGTACTATTTTGTAATCATTTCATGAGTAGGCATGGTTTTTGTGAATTCCTCTAATATTTATTCATATTCGCAGTCAGTAACCTGTAGTGCATTTATCCATTATCTGGACTTAAACTGCTGCTTTACCTAATCACCTTCGAAACCGATTTCATTTATGCACATAAGCTACTATATATTCAGTAACTAAGTAATTCACTTACCCATTGTCTGAAAGATTAGTATCAAGATATTCTTTGACAGAAACCATTGCTTTATTTACAGTAGTCGAATTACAGTAGAGATCAGTTTTATTTACATATATAGGCTACTATACGTATATACTTGCATCAATAGCTCAATAATCTCTTGCCTAGGAGATTAAGATATTTTCGACGGAAACTAGTGTATTGCTTTGTCTGATCAAGCTGAAGATCGATTTCATTGATATTTATAAGCATATTCATTAAACAGTAATACACTAATCTCTTGCCTGGACGATTCATACGAGGAGATTTTCTTAAACGATTTAATGGAAAATTATTGCCTTGTCTAATTGATTTACTATGGATTCTCGAAAGTAACTGGAATGATGTATTCAGCTATGCTATTTAGTTTTTTTATGCTAGTGCTTGATATCAGGAAGCTTTCTAAGTGAAAATTATTACCTTTTCTTGGTCAATTTAAGGACTAATTTCACTCGTATTAGTGAATACCTGCAGAAGTTATAGATTAATCATCGAAATTAGAGGAAAAATATATTCTGCTGTCTTGTTTGATTTTCTGATTCTGGAAGCTTTCAAACTGGAAATTGTTGCTTTGTCTGGTTAATTCAAGGTCTAATTCTATTCGTGGTAGGAGAACACTTGTAAAAGTTGTAGATTATCGAAAATAACTATTTGGTTTTCATGTGTCAGTGATGGATATCAGAAAGCTTTCTAACCCAATATTATCGCCTCATGTGGTCGATTTAAGAGCTTATTTCACTCATGATGGAAGAATACAGTAGTTATAGATTGTGAAAAGTAACTTGAACGCTATATTCTGTACTATTTCATTTTTCTTGTGCTACTAACTGCGAAAACCATTATCTTATCTCGTCAATTTAAGCGTTAATTTCATTTATAATAGGAAAATGTAGTACCGTAGTTATAGATTGCCAAAAGTAACTTGAAAGATGTTTCTGCGGAATTGCAGTATCGTTTATTGATCATTTATTTAAGGAGTTATTTCCTCGATCGGAAATCTGAATTTGTTACAGTACTGTATCCGATCGACTTCTTTATAAATAAAATGAAAGATCAGACTACCGTAGTTGTGCTTTACTATAAAAATATAATTTCAAATATTTCGCTCTTGTATGAAAGGCATATCTAGCCCAATTGTGATATTATAATTTATAACATGCATATCATAATCTGTAGGTTTAAACATGGAATATTAGAAGAAAATCCATGGCAATCTTCTAGTAGTCCATGGTTTAAACCACGAGTACGAAGCACGAATTTGATTTGCACCCTTTCCTCCAGCATGGGTTAGGTTCAGCTTTTAACTTTACGCGTGATTGGTTGCTACTTCAGAGCCTTCAGCTTGATAATAAATTTAGTATAGTTAGGCTTCAGAAAGTTAACCTTAAGCTACCTTATAAGACAGAAATGGTATGAGTTGAATAAAATGTAGTCTGCAGAGCTTACATTATTCTTGAAATAACATTTCGTATGGTAGCATTGTATCTTCAGCGGAGTAGAATCTAAATGGTATCTTATTATGACGTAAGTAACTCGCCCCTGTAAAGCTAGATGTACTAAGCTGTGGGTTACCAGTTTTTGTTAAATATGTGATAACAAATTCATTATAAGTAATAGCCCAAGTTCACCACTTTTGTTTATCATAGGATGAAGTATTAGGATTGATATGTACTAACTAGTAACTGATCAACTACTCTAACACGCATTGCGTGATGTATGAGGATAACAAACTTTTGTATAAAGGTAGGCCTAAAGATTCAAAGCTCAGTCACATCTAGTATATTTACTACTCTGATGTACAGTATATACATTTCTCTTGTTTCTTAACTTTGTAACTACTAATACCGATCTGGATTGTAAATGAAATTCATTAAACAATCTCAAAAACGGTTAATTAGCAATATTCGAAAAATGAACTCGTTTTGAGCTATAGGTTATCCTATCGTTTAGTGTATTAGTTGTAAAATATTAATTAATGGATATTAAGAAAGTTCTATACTTCAATTTTACTCATCCAAGCGATAAATAAAATGACAGAGTTGCTAATAATTATTGTAAACAATAACCCAATCAGGAGCTGGTGGTTTATGGGTCATTATTGAATCAATGGAAACGTATACTAGCTTCAGGGTGAAAAATCATTTAGTTAACTGTAAGCACGATTACAGCACAATCATATAGCCATGATTAAACAGGTTGAAACATTTCAAATTTATTCATATTTGGACTCGTATCGCAATTGTTATGAATTCAAAAATCCTATTGGATATTACTGTATATACTTTGAAATGAGCGCATTGCTATATCGACATTATGATATTCTTCAACAGACAGTCATACAGTAGACAGGGTACATTTATCATTACAATAAATGTGATGGCAGATCCTTGTATTAAATTAATTAATTCATTATAATTATTAATAATTGACTTAAATTTCCTTCCATATCTATTGTAGTCTTAACGACGATGCACACTTTCCAAAAGTGGACATGTCGTACTATAATCATCGCATAGAAAGTTACGTTGAAGTATTGCCTTAGAGCTTGTTATTTAATCCTTTATATAAGGACAGAGAATACATAGTAACATACAATATATATTGAGAAGAATGATTACAGTCTTTATACAAAAGTATGGAAAAAAGAGATTATTGCAAGATAGGACAGTAATGTATGTTTAAGTTTGACTTACAAATTTCACAGATTTAGTATGTATTGCATAGTTGTTATCTTAATATCAAATATAGACATCATGGACATTTTTGGCTAATACTTTTTTACGACAGATAGGACATTCATTTTTACGTTTAAGAGCGATCTTTAGGCAAGAACTACAAAATATATGGCCACATACAGTCGATTGTAGCGTACGTGTTTTCTTGATCTAAGGAAAGGAAAGAGTTTAAATTTATGATGTAGCAGCGTAACCTATTGGTAGCATGCAGGATACGAGTGAATTATTTTACTGATTGGAAGCAGTAACAAGGTAGCGTTATCAATATGAAATAGTAATAAATTATCACTCGACCAACAGAACAGCAATGTAATTACTTTCGTAGTAGCAAAATTTGTCTAGCTACCAACCTGGCTATAGCTTTCTTTACATATTGGACATTCGATAACTGGTGAGGGCGAGGTATTGTCATTGACACTATTTAATGGTTGTGATGAAGGTGAAGACCAATGTTGATTGACTGAAGTTAGTTTACTATATAAAATAGGATAATAGTGGTATGTTTTATTGTGTATTTTTTTAGGTTAGGCGTTACATTAACTGCATCAGGTAGGTTTCGATATAGTAGAACTGATGCTAGTTGTTAGCAGTTACTATTGACTTTAATTGAATTCGTTCTGTATTATTAGAAGGCTACTACAACAATGTTGGTAACATCTATGCTAGTAGCTGTGACTACGTTCCGCACTGTAGATAAGAGTGTGATTACCTGCTAGTACGATTCGTTCTTTCTGAGGTATTAATTACATTAGTATCTTCTTCTGTATCGCTAATAATAATAATGGAGTGATCTCGTTCTGTATGCTCTTGTCCAGGTTCACGATCTCTTATCCTTGCCCTTTTACGTGATGCTTTGATCGGAGTATCGCTTTTGGTTAGGTCAATAATTGGTTGATTACTGTTCCCAACTATTGCAATTTACAATATGTTGTCAAAATGAATCCATTCATTATTGATTTTGAAAGAAACTTTGATAGGCTAAACAGTGAAATAATCTATACTCTTATTCATAGTTACTAATTAGTTGGGTTTTACTTTATTTATTGGAATTAAAATGGCTATACGTGTACCTTCGGCACAGTCCAAATTGATCGGGCTTACTTCATGAGTTACGATACGTCGACGTTTCGACATGCCAGAATAGCGAATGGCTTGCATCTAATTAATGGTAAAATTATAGAGGCACTAGCCACTTTTTACATTAGATCTATAAATTAATACGGTCTGGTAGGATAGCCAGTGTTTCCGCCAAGTTTGCTACGCATTTGATAGAAATAGATGGATATTGGAGAGGGTATGAAATGCTGTGAGAGAAGAAAAATTGATGTAGAGTAAATCAGCAAATTTACTTTATTGGTATAGTAGCTATGTAAAAGTAATCAATCACTTGTGCAGTATAAGTTTTCAATCTGTTGATAATGTATGCATACCGTAACTATTATTTTATTTATTTGTCATGCAATTTGCTACCAAGGGGCAATTATTATGATCCTATCATAAATAATTTCTCATGATGACTTATCGATTTTGATTTATCATCATTGTAGTTAGTGAAAGTAGTAAAGTCTGTCAACTTTAATGTGGCTACTAAATTGACGAGGATAACGAATGTAATACGTTGAGAATTTCAAGTATTTGGAAAAGGAAGGAAGGAAAGAAATTTGGAATTTAGTTCATGGTTATCTACTACGCGTATTCAAAAAAATATAGTATTTTCTTTTCAAGTCAATGTATGGCATTGGTAATTAAACAGACGTAGAATCAAAGGCTGTCATTGAAACCGAAAGCCATAAAGACAAGCAATCAGGAAACTAGATTGTTATTAACTTGCGTAGATATACGAACTGTAGGTCTTGTGAATGAAAGTAGAAAACAGTTGGCTTTGATTGTCGTTAGTACAAGAGTAAATACGTCGATAAAGTCTTTCATTTGCAATGGATGGAAGGGAAGTGATTCCATGGGCTGTTGCCATTCTGTAGGATAGTGGATACTCTACTTTGTCATCAAGAAACCAACTTGTATAGTAAATCACTGACACGCAATTGTGTGTGGGTACAGTACTCTTCTCCTTCAGTTCACCTGACAGGATGATCGATTTTGGGGCATGGATAACTAACCAACCCATTGGATTCATTGCTCAGTTGACTTTACTTTCTTACTGATGATGGTAACAACTCGATGATGATAGACTACTTGATAAAGGAATATTTCATTGTTGATTGTTTGGCTGGCAAGGATAAAGTAGACTTATACAGCCATAGCGTATCAGGTAGTGTCCATTAGAGTTCTGTCATCATTTCAATGATACTCTATTGCGGTAGTACAATCTATCAATAGGATCCATGCCGGGATGGCGTATTTTTCAACCAAGCGAACGTTTACTACCCATTTGCCGGCGCCCATCCAATTCGGTATGTCGATGATTGTACTGTATGACATTGCCAATCGGCATCATCATGGATACAATATCAAGATGGCAGAGGTAAAACTTACCGTGATGGTGTAATTTGGGCGGTAGCGATAAAATGCCAATTTGGTGGCTGAATATTCTTGGGATTCTTGCTGCAGTCAGTCGTGTTATGCAATCAAGGGAAAGTTGTTTCTTTTTGCACTAAATCAGTCCGAGTCGCAACTTGTCTTGGAGATTTGAATTTGAAAGGAGAAACTATGGTAACCACGGAATGACTGACTGACTGACTTTACTATGGCAATGATAAGCGATTACCGTAAAAGCCTACTCCAGCGCGGTGAGCTGTCCAGTACCGTACTGTACTGTACTGTACAGTATGCGCCGAGTACTACAGTCCCGTACACTACGGTACTGTACCGTATATTTACAGTGAACACTGAATCGGGGTACTGTACACTGTACACTGTACAGTACACTACTAGTACTGTACTGGAGTGAACAACTGTACCACAAACGACCTTAACCGTCAACGACTGACTGGTTGACCGGCACTTTCTACTCAGTACAAAGTACTCATACTGACAGTACAGTACTGTAGTTGACTGTACAGTATTATCGAATCAGAACAGGATCTGGAGTGAAGAACTGTACCACAAACGACGTCAACCGTCAACCAGTCAGTCAGTCATTGACTGGTTGACGGTTGACCTGCACTTTCCACCCTGTACAGTGTACAGTACAAAGTACTCATACTGACAGTAGTTGACGGTACTATCGAATCAGAAGAACACGCACCACAAACAATGTCAACCGTCATGACTGACTGGATGACCTGCACTTTCTACCCTGTGCAGTGTACAGTACAAGTACTCATACTGACAGTAGTTGACGGTACTATCGAATCAGAACAGGATCTGGATTGAAGAACTGTACCACAAACGACGTCAACCGTCAACCAGTCAGTCAATCATTGACTGGTTGACGGTTGACCTGCACTTTCCACCCTGTACACTGTACAGTACAAAGTACTCATACTGACAGTAGTTGACGGTACTATCGAATCAGAAGAACACGCACCACAAACAATGTCAACCGTCATGACTGACTGGATGACCTGCACTTTCTACCCTGTGCAGTGTACAGTACAAGTACTCATACTGATAGTAGTTGACGGTACTATCGAATCAGAACAGGATCTGGATTGAAGAACTGTACCACAAACGACGTCAACCGTCAACCAGTCAGTCAATCATTGACTGGTTGACGGTTGACCTGCACTTTCCACCCTGTACAGTACAAAGTACTCATACTGACAGTAGTTGACGGTACTGTACTATCGAATCCAGAACAGGATCACTGCAAGGTTAAACCCGTCACTAGCAAATCATTGTTGCGTCAAGAAAGCTCTTTGACATGATAAATCATTCTTGAATTTCGTTTTGAGTTAAGGTTCCATCGCGGCAACTATCCGTCATACAGTCTCCTTTTCGCGACAATGCTGTATAGTTGTACAGGGTGTCTCATCAAAAATGACCGACGATTGAAATTATGTGAAAACACAATTTCAACACCAAATTAGACAAATTGAGTATCAGTCTATTGTAAAGAAGACGCTTTACAGTACGGTCGAATGATTTTTATCCAGGACTGGACACGACACACTACACACTAGTATAGCGAATTCACTTCGATGGCAAGATGGCGTCGAAAATTGCTAATTGCTAACACTCATGTTGAAAATCGATATGTACAGGCAGGAGGATGTCTTTGGGCCTGATTTAGCCTACACAGCTTATTTTCCTTAGCACTGCCACCCAAGTTAATCCTGCGCTATAGTACAGTACACGAATACAGCATATAGTACTGTACTGTAGACGGCAAAATGTCATCAGCCCCAGATGATCAAGCCTTGTTACACTTACCTTGTGTCTCTTTGCAATTCTTAGGCACATATTTTTCGCTCATGACTTCTTATGTAGTCACTATGATCGACTGTTGAATACTGTACTAGTATACAGTACAGTCTCTTTTGTTAGATAGTCCTTGCTCGAGGCATAAATAAAACTAACAAAAGACCTCCAATAGGCAGGGAGCAGTCCCTGAAGATGGCTCAACATCAAGAAAAAGCGTTCTGCTGTATTCCACGAATATAGACAAATGCAGCCAGCACTAGAGTAACTACTGTATACTATAGAGGTAACGGAAAAGTAGTCGTGGCCTCCTTAAGAATAATTATAATACTATAGACAAATGCAGCAGTAGAATCACTACTGTATACAGTACTGTAGAGGTAAAGGAAAAGTAGACATGGCCTCCTCAAGAATAACATAGACAAATGCAGCAGTGGAGGAACTACTGTATACTGTAGAAGTAATGGAAAAGTAGTCTTGGCCTCCTCCATAATCATAATAATATAGATAAATGCTGCAGTAAAGTCATTACTGTATACTGTAGAGGTAATGGAAAGGTAGACATGGCCTCCTCGATAATAATAATAATAATATAGACAAATGCAGCAGTAGAGGTAATGGAAAAGTAGTCGTGGCCTCCTCGATAATAATAATAATATAGACAAATGCAGCAGTAGAGGAACAAATGTATACTGTAGAGGTAATGGAAAAGTAGTCATGGCCTCCTCCATAATAATATAGACAAATGCAACAGTAGAGGAACAAATGTATACTGTAGAGGTAATGGAAAAGTAGTCATGGCCTCCTCCATAATAATATAGACAAATGCAACAGTAGAGGAACTAATGTATACTGTAGAGGTAATGGAAAAGTAGTCATGGTCTCCTCCATAATAATATAGACAAATGCAGCAGTAGAGGAACTAGTGTATACTGTAGAGGTAATGGAAAAGTAGTCGTGGCCTCCTCCATAATAATATAGACAAATGCAGCAGTAGAGGAACTAATGTATACTGTAGAGGTAATGGAAAAGTAGTCATGGCCTCCTGGATAATAATATAGACAAATGCAACAGTAAAGGAACTAGTGTATACTGTAGAGGTAATGGAAAAGTAGTCATGGCCTCCTGGATAATAAGAATAATAATATAGACAAATGCAACAGTAAAGGAACTAGTGTATACTGTAGCGGTAATGGAAAAGTAGTCATGGCCTCCTGGAAAATAAAAATCATAATATAGACAAATGCAGCAGTAGAGGAACTACTGAACAGAAATGCTGGAAGAGAAAGCGTTCTATTGTACTGTATTCGACAAATGCAGCTCTACAGTCACTAATGTAGTGCATACTGTACTCAGTAGAGGTAATGGAAAAGTGAGTCATGGTCTCCTCGATGCTTTGTACTGTATAGTACAGTACAAAGCATCGTAGAGTAATCGAAAGGGAGAATATCAAATTCTATCATCCTATCGTGCCCCCCCTCCCCTTACTCAACAGTACTGTATGGACAAGACTATTACACCGAACGTCGATTGTGCTATACTGTACAGTACAACAGTTTGACCAATGCGTGTTGCTAGCTAACTGGAGATCGCGTTGCAGTCAATTAAGTTTTCAAATTAATAATCACCCGCTTGGCGGTGACAATCATTAATTTATTGATACCAATCGATCGTCTAACCAGTCTAAATGTATCCCATTTTAGAAGCCAATCGTTTAGCTGAAATGAACACTTGGTATGCTGTTCATTGCAATGGTCAATTACCAACGGCTCGTTTAGGCCATTCTTGTACTTCACTCCACTGCCATCCATCGCAGAGCCCAACAGTTGCCAAGGTAATACTATTGGCTGGAGCGACAACGGAGAAACCTCTAGATGATGCTTTCATCTTTGATACAGGTAATTGGTCTATCCAACGTTTACACTTACAATTCAAACTCAATATACTGCAGTCTTGAATCGCTCTCGATAGTGGATAGACAATCAGTAGCTTCAACATGGGATTGCGTTGAGTCGAGATTCAAACTCGTTGTCAGAAACAAGGATGGTATTTCATATCACTTTTTGCTATGGCTCTTTCTCGATTAGAGATAGTTCCTACTTTGATGATTCATTTAGATTGGAAGAACTCGTCTGCGATGCAATGCTTTAATCCATCAGGACGATTGAAAACATGCTTAAAAATGACTACGATAAGGCAATCAATGGTAGTGTAACATGGAAATGTCAAGATTGTAAGCGTTATTGATTGACGAGATGGGATTGATTGCGCATCATGTTATCCATCTTGATAGTCAGACGACTATTTTTGTGCTACTGCCGTCATATCATTCGTCAGCGCATAATTAGGCTCTCTTGCTGCTCGTTCTATCATCAACTAGACATTTGCCATAGATATGTAGAGATAGTCCACAGCATGTTGCCGCAACGTCAACGAATCGATAGCGCTATAACCTTCGTTTTGGTCCAATATCAAGTCAATACTAACTTGACATAATACTTCTATTTCGCTTTTCAGATTGCTTTACTTTTAAGCAGTTGTGTAACCAAAGCAATTTTACTCCGCGTTATGAGCATTTTTGTTGCTCTCATGGCAATGAATTACTCGTCTTTGGTGGTGCTAGTGCTAGCGATAACTATAACGATACGTGGCTTTACAACCCAGGTTTGCAAAGAATAACATTCAAATGAATAAAAGTTATCTTAATATTAGCGTACAGATAGGATGCTACTCATATCATAACAAATACTAAAAAATCCTACCCAATACATTGTTACTTAGAACTTGGTACTTGGAAGCGTATTGCGGCTAGCGGTCAATTGCCCGCACCTCGAACGGCTCGATATTGCGGTGGAATTGCCAACAATATTGTATATATATTTGGCGGTGGCATGAATGGCGCTGTTCCTGTAGCTGATCAAAAGCTGCATTTTTTACACTTAGGTTAGAATTGAGTTCAAATTTTTGCTTGTATATAGACACTCCATCTGCTGAATTCAGTTTTAATTCATTATCTCTATCATAAAAATTATTTATTATCGAATTGTGCCACAAGATGAAGCAAATAGTTCATGGAATGTACGTCAAGTAAATGGTAATGCCCCATTGTCGCGCCAAGGTCATACAGTCGCGGTAGTGGGTAATCAAATATTAATTTATGGAGGGATGACTAATGATGGCTTTCTAGATGATATGCACATGTTTGACATCGGTATGAAGAGAGTAATGACAGTACTAAACATAAAATGCATTGAAAGCATTCATTGTGAGACAATTCTTGCGTCCTCTGTAGAAACCAACACCTGGAGTCAAATACAACCTTCAGGTGATATTCCTCCAGAGCGGGCTGCACACGCAGTAGCTGTATATGAAAATGATATGTATATATTTGGTGGAATGAATTCATCTGGAGCGCTGAATGATTTTTACGTATTTCAAACTAGTAAGTTGAAATTATTCTATTTTTAGAATAGTAGTAGTATTGACATAATGCAATTTACTCTAGTCATTAGAAAGATGTCTTATTTTCAAACTTGACTAGTACATATGCGCATTAAATATCGAGTGGTTCATAATCTTTGCTAAAACTGTTTTAGATCGACGAAAGTGGCGTAAAATTTCAGTGGAAGGCCAACAACCGTCTCCCAGACTAGACCATTCCATGTGCATTGCACGTTTGAAAAAACCAGACTCTACTACTGGTAAGCGGTTATAACCTTTGGTTTTTACTACCAACTTTGATGATAAATCTTTACTCTCAAAAAATGTAACATAAGCACTTCTTTTATGCTTTGTTTATTTCATTTGTAGAAGTTGATAGCGTAGCAGGAGACGAACAAATCTTATTGTTTATGTTTGGTGGTGTAAATACTATTGGAGAAATGCACGATGACTTTAAGGCCTATAGAATTCATTAACCGTAGTATAACAGGTCGTAAAACATTACTTTCTACTGTACTTTTTAACTAATTCAAGTTCGATTTATTTTCTACATTTTTTTGCCTTCTTTTACCGCTGATGATATTAGCTCTGTCATGAAAGTAACGAAATTAACGATGTAAATAATAATTAATTTTGGTGATTTTAAAAGTAGTATAATATGCTTTTAATTATGGAATAATAATCCGAAACTTGGACAACGTTGACAATAGCCAACTACGAAATTATTTTGTTATTAAAATTATATCAAACATTTATTTTAAATAAAATGGAATCTTGATCATTTTCGCTAAAGTAACATTTCTTTTATTGTTACGTGAAATAACTTAATATACCCAAAATGATGTGATTGATGTAAAAATAAATCATTATATTATGCGAAAAAGAATTAATAACCAAAGAGTTATAGGTCGCCAGCAAGGTTCAATCCATGTCATACAACATTTTCAAATTTATAAAAAAGGACATTTGATTGTCAACTATCGTTAACGCGTCAAAATATGTTAGAATGAAATAGAATAATTAAAAATTTGGAATAATCCTGCTGGTTGTCTGCATTATTTCAAAGCGTTGTATTCTAACTGGAATTCTTACAAAATTATATAAATTCTTATTTAAAGCTATTGAAAGAAGTCGTCTACTGTAACATCGGCATTTTGATTGGAATCATTGTTGCTTCGGCTTTTATTGCTGCTCTTATGACTTCGATTAGTTTCATTCAGGATCGGTTCAGTATCATCCATGCTATACTTTCTTTCTTTCGACGATTTTGCTCTCCTAAAAGATAAAGCCGTTCTTATCAATTTCAAAATAATATCCTAATTGATATCAGTACGTGCCCCTTTTCACTCTTAATAAAACCGTGGACTAACTCATGAATCCAATCAAGTTCAAAATAACCTACTTTTTCTCCTTTTTAGTTTTAGTAGAAGTTGGCCTGGGAAGATCGTCTTCCGGAAAGATACTATCATTGGTAGCATGTGACTTATATTCTCGATTTTCTCTAATTCTCTCCGCTAATGGCTTGGTTTTTTCAAATTTTGATGTACTAAAAGGAAATAATTTTAAAATTGAACTCAAATGAATTTGATGTAGATGAATGTAACTTAATATAGTATCTAATTAATTTCCCATATCGGAATTTGTATTCCCTTGATTACAATATAAACTAACTTGACCTCGTCAGCTAGCTACGACATTTTTCATACGTAATTGAACTCACATAAAATTTACATCCATCCAGATCTCAACTAAAGTACAGTTTATTTAACTGACGATGACAAAAAATTGTACGTTGATAAGTTATATTATTTACTTTTACTCTACAACAAAGCTGACAAAGTAAAATTGTCGAGATCATTATACAGTTAAAATGAAATTATTTTGAAGCCAAGTACAGGTATGTGTAATAGGCAACGAATTACGATTAAAATTTGCTTCATTATTGTGTAGTATCATAATAGCTAAGTTAATGTACAACTTTATAATAGTATTATTGTAGAAAGTGCCCAGCGGCATCCATCTTTTGTATTAGCTTATATAAGACACCTACAAATGAGTAGATGTATCAATGTGATGAAATCTAAGCGATATTGTTAGGGTGAACTAATTCTGCTATTATAGTTATCAGGAGTTAATTAGCCCTGATTGCATTTAAATCATACTTTATGCTATTTTGTTGGCTAAGTTTACCAAAATGACAACAAAGCCAATATCACAAATACTAGGTAGCAGACTAGCAATGGCATAATGGCTAACATAATTACAATGCTAGTTTAGTCGAAATAATGCAATGGTATATTCATATGCATCAATTCATCTATCCATTATGATTGTTATCCTTGTATAAGAGTAATGATTGGCTAAGCTAGTAGTTTATGGCAATGATGTATTACATATGTATAAACACATCGCCTTGTCAGGTTATATTATACTTTTATTGGATAATTTTATCATATAAAGCTCTATCTCATTACTTATTTGATAAGCTATATTAACTGAGCTATACTTTTTTAATAATTTCTGATGGTGCTAGATTCGACGACCATAGCCTTGATATGCTACTAATATAGTTTCGATGTGGTTGATTCTTGGTTTAAAGGCGATAATAATTTGCTACATACGATGTACTTACATCAATTTGGTTTTTCCGTTTTTCTTCTTATTTTTAGCCTTGGGATTTTTATATTCAGAATCGTAGATAACTTTGAGCATATTAGACAACTCTTCGCTGGTTTTTCTTGGGAAAAGCAATTTTAAGACTTCCATGAGTTCTTCTTGTTCAAATTTACCAAGTTTGACTAATGAACCAATTAATCTTAATTGTTGTTCTTCGACGGCTTTAAATTCTTTCAATCGAAATTCGCGGTTTAAGTCTTCTAGGCTTTGACGAATACGTACATCCATGCTCTGCTTGTATTGCTCTAGTTCTTCGTTAAATTTAGCCTTTAACATTGCTCTTCTAACGTGCCAGGCAAATTTGTTACCTTCTGCTTTTGCTGCTTTCATTGTGTCCTTCAGTATAAAAAATGAGGTATTACTATAATTAGGTATATATTGAAACCACTTGATACACTAGAAGCTATAAAATATTGCTATAAGTCAGAGTGAATACTACAGTCACAATTAAATATACCATCTAGTAATATTATCAATATAATTTAACAATTAATAACAATTTCGAAATTAAATTATTTACGTCGTGTTCCCTTCTTATAGCGTTAATATTTTGCTCTCTCATTCTGCTTAATCGCTCTTCTAATAACTATAAAAAAATAAGTAATAATTTTATTACCAAGCTAAGTGATTACACTACTTTGTATATTATTATTGAGCATGTTTTAAATTAATAAATCACCCAAAGTATTACATAAATCCTTACCTTGGCTTGCTTTTCACGTTCTTGAGTCAATTTTTTGTTTAGTCGATCTACTCCCTAAATAGTTTAAGTATAATCACGCGTCATAAGACGTATTCCAAGATAGTGCAATATTATATAGCTCATCTGATGCTAACTTCATTGTGTTTTTCGAAAATTTCTTGAGATCCAGAAGTATCTACAACTCCACGATCAGCAAGATCGTCGATCATATTTAACTATAGCCCAATTATAAATAAGTTCTATTAGCTATCGATCAGCATAGTACACGAGTAGTATTACATAGACGAAGATAAATTCATTTCCTAACTTGTGCACACCAAGCTTACCTGTAATTTAGCTAAAGTTTGCTGTTGGGATTCAATTACAGCAAGCTATGAATATAATAGTGCCATAAATTAGCATATCTTGCCTGCTATGATGCATTAGTTCTGTTTTCATACTATATTATTTCAAGATAACCGAGAATGGAGTAGGTATACTATAGTAAATACTAGAGATCTGTGATACCTGTCTTGCTTTCTCCATTTGCAAAGATGCAACCATAGCGCCAAGTTTTTCCTCTTGTTCCATTAATGCTATTTCTCTTTGTTGGATCATTTCTTCTTGAATCTATATTGTAAAATAAAAGCAACTCAGTTACAAGATACAATATTGCAAAAACGAATATTATATAAGTTCATTCAAATATAACTAACATCTTCTAGAACATCTTCTCCAAATTGTTCTGCAAGTTGTAGCATTTTTGTTTTCTCGCCGATTTCTTTCTGTATCATGTTGAAATCAACATCATCCGCTTTAGCATTTGCTTCGTTAACATCTTCAACTTCCTCTTCAATTTTATTTTGCATTTTCTACACGGTAACAATAGTTTTAGAATCCTTTTTATACGGGTTATAATTAGTATTCAGTTAGGATTTAGGGCATAAGAATAACGCATTGCTGGTATTAAATTCAGAGGGTGAAATTAATTATGGTAACTTTTGTCATGACTCTGTAAAGTAATTTTATGGCATTTTGATATTTTCGTAACTACATAATTATACATTAAAATGAAATGACTGCGTTCTCATATTAATAGTCCTAGTCGAATCGATATCTTCCAGCTTCTAGCGGGTAATTTTACGGTATGAGAATAACTTAGGAGATATAAAGCTGTAATGAAATTGCTATTTTTTTACTCTTGGTTCTAGTCAAATCAATATCTTGCAGCCTATAATCGATAATTTTAATTACCTTTGTCTCTTTCCTAATCTTACGTTCGATTTTTTCAGTTTCACGATTCTTCCGATTTGAAAGCTTTTCTTGAATTAATCGTTTTTGGCGTAGTTTATTCAATGCCAAACTAATAAATGTTGATTTTATTAATATTAATTATATTATTCCTTCAATATCGCTATTCAACTCCAAATAGTGGAAATGAAAGGAGAGCTTTAGAGGTGTATATACTCGTATTAGGTTTATGCTTGCTTATTCACTTGCCTTGTTACAGGGCGATTTATAGTATGTAGCAAAACAGATAATAGCAAGATAGCCTACAAGAAATTCTGCTTGTGTATACGGCAGTTCGAGCTAACGATTCTTATCCTACCTGTTAGAGATTTTAGCAGCTTGTTTATCATGTTCCTGAATTAATTTTTTCCTATCTTCTTGAGATAGAACTAGCTGGTTGTCTATAATTTGGCTATTAGAGTAAATATATATTGAATTCGATGTAATATGAACAGTTTAATATCAAGAAAACAAGAGTCGATTAAATATTTTAAGTTTACTTGCACTAATATTCAAATAGAGGTATTATCGGATTTTCCAACTTACTTTACAAGTTTCTCTTCATGCTGTAAAGCGGACTCTTCAGCTTCAATTTCCTTTTGACGTCTTTCCTTCATTCTTTTTCTTGATTCTTTTAGTCGTTCCTACACAAGCATTAATAAAATAGATCAGCATGATAGTTGGCAACATTAAAATAATTTCATATCTACTGCTGAAATGTCTATTTACTTGTAATTGCTCTCGCTGTCGATTTGATTCTTGTTCATATGCAGCTTGAGACTGTTCCAAATTATTAAAATAGTTGTTGAAAATTTGGCCTGAAGATTGCTCTAACGAACCAACTGGGATATTTTGAAATAAGTTATAAAAATCTCTTTAGTATAATCAATTACGTAAACAACATTATTTTTGTTTAATAACTTTAATTGCCAGTATACTAACCAGTTTTTTGTAAAGTTTTTACAAAATTATCAATATTTGCACGCATCTGCTTAATAATATCTAGCGATAGTTGTCGGAGGCTAGTTTGAACCTCTTCAATAGCCTAAAATTAACAAGAAGAGTAGTACACTAATCAATTAAACTCATTCGATTCGTATAAGTATGGAATTTTTCAGTATATTTGTGCAGCATGGCATTGTATTACGTCCTATTATTGCGTGACTCCATTGTGATCTCATTTAGACCATAATATACGTAAAATTAGACGAGATTACTGATATTGAGCAAAAATATGATAATCACTGAAATTCTTAATAAATTCAGTATTAGCGCATTTCTTTTTACCTTACTATCCATTTTGGCAACAACAATTTCCATTTCCTCTCGTTGATCATTAACCAGGGAACTCTTCTGTCTGATAAGCTGATCAATTGCTGTACAGTAAACACAGATAAGATATTAATAAAATGTTAACTCATATGCATATCAAGCAGTAATGCTGGCATGATCTTAAATTTTAACTGGTGAAATAATTTGCCGTATTTTTGATGAGGAAAGAACATAAAATTATGGAAAGTATGGAACGTCTATCTTACTTATTTTGCCGTTTTTTAGGTCGTCTTGCATATGTGAAAATTTTTCATCACGAAATTTTTTGTGCTCTTGGCTCTATAAGTTAACATGGAAATGAGAAGTTTAATTAATAGATTGCCTTAACATTATATTATCTGCTCTGAGCGTAGATTAATGTTATTGGCACCTTTAAATTCTAAAGTATAGCTATTAACTGTACAAATTATCGCTGTTATTATGTAGAATGTTGTGATCTATACTAAGAGTCTTTTGCTTATTAGATATAGATGATCCAGCAGCAAATGAATTAATGAACGTAATTACTTAAAATCCTTTAATGACATCAAGTTTAGTTAGGTTGTCACGAAGGCGCTTGGCTGCAATAAGTTTCATTAGCCAGCAACAACAATAACTAGAACTGCAGTTTCCTTTTAGCAGTTACTTATTCGTTATCGTAAATTTAGATTATTATTCTAAATGTACCTTATAGTAGAAAATTATATATGTAAATCGCGTAATTATTAGTTAATTACCATTTGCTTTAGTTGCTTCTTTTGTTCATCTGTTAAGCGTTTTTGTAAACTACGACACAGATTCGTTTGATCGCGTTTAAATCGCTCGAATAACGCATCTCCTTCTTTATCGATCTTAAATATCAATTTTTCAGCTTGAGAACTTGAAATTTTTTGTTGTCTACAGCAAAGGATTGAAATCAATTGTGAGAAAGTTGTAGATAGTATTTGTTGCAATAATTGCTGTTACTCTTATGCTACATTTCTCACTAATGTATGCAAATATCAGTGGGTTCAGTTTTGAAAGCTACACCTTGCGTATCAAGTAAGCAAGTTATGAAGTAGCTATTTCGACATATAATATGGAATACAACAGCAATATTATTAATCCATTCAGAAATATTTTAGCTAATTCTATAGCCAACTTACTGTATTAATTCATCCATGTGTTCTTTTTGGAAATCAATCATGCTTCTAATATTTTCGTGCGTATGTTTTCTTTCATTACTCTAAAGTAATCATTTAAAGATGATAGAATTGAATTCTAACAGATACGTAACTCTATTTGGAGATTTAGACATTATCACTTCTAGTTTAACTTAAAATAGATTAACGTATAAATAGTAACAAAGTTATTTATGTTCACATATGTCTGAAATATTATACGTAATGATATTGAAACTAGATTAAAGAAGGAAATTCCTACCAGTTCTTCGATCATTGCGCGTCGAGCTGATAATCGCTCTTCTAATACCATTCTCTGTCTAGCTACTTCTTCATTAAATATTTCCTCGTTAGCTCGAATATTTTCACTATGCTGCCTGACTAGTTTATCAGCGTAGTCGGAGTTTATGTTATATTCTGCGATTAAATCGTTTAGCGTAATTTGTAACAGTTCTTTCAGCTCCAGCTTCTTATGAACCGCACTTTCCTGTAACAAATTTATTATCTACTGTCAGAGAATATGCAATCCGTAACACACAAACGATAGTAGCATTTTATTTGTTATTATCAAGTATTACGGTATGATGTATTAGATATCGACGATTTTTATATAATGATTTGGATTACTATTATACCTGCAGCCAAGCAAATACTATACAAATTATCAGAAGATATATCGATGTTAATACCTTATCCAATAATTATAATTTTATACAGGTGATTATAAAATTAATTGTATTCTGCTTTTAGAGTCGAAACTTGATGCAATTTATAAGCTAGTTTCTTATTATTACATGGAGCTACAGCTAGATTAATGGCCAATAATCATTATCTTACTTTGCGCCTGTTCTCTTTAAGCTCTTCATTTTCTAAAGTAATTTCGTGCATTAAATCTTTCATTTCCAAACGATGCTGATCTTCCATCATTTCTAATAAATTTTTCTGTTTCTATATTAGATTGAGATTAATTGAAGTACGGATTAGTTCTATTGTTGTCAAAAAGTACAAAGACAGATTATTTTTTACATAGAACGTTCTAATATTATAACATAAAGTGCTTCCTACACTATAAATATATATATATTTATTATCAAAATATTCAATTAAATAGCTGAGTAGGCTATTTACAACGTCTAATAAGAGGTTTGAGATAAATCCGATGGTACCTTTTGTGCCATAGATTTTACTCGCTCTCTAACATCCTGACTTTGTCGAAGTTGCTCTTCTTCCAACTTTTTAATTCTTGCCTAATGTATCGATAATATACACGTATACTTCGTAAATAAATATTTCTTAACTTAAAGTTTCAAATAATATCAAATTCTAGTCTAAAATCTGTACTTATTTTAAACTGACCTGATTCTTGAGGTTTAGATCCTCGATAATGGAATTCATGTCTTTTATTGAATTTCTATATAAATCCCCTGAAACTTTATCCAAAGATTCATGGAAATCTTTGGAAATCTAGGCATATATTATTAAAAATTTTAATTATGAGTCCAGAGAATAGATTTCAAATATAATAGGTATCATTAAAATTCTATTAGACTGTGCTATCGCATTACAAATTCATACCTTTTTCTTGTCCTCGGGCCTGATTTCACCATTTCTTTCTATGTCATCAATCAATTCCGTAAAACTTCCAACTAATAATTCCTCGTATTGTTGTTCCATTTCGGCGTCAAATTGCAATGATATGGTTATATCAAGACTATAATTCAATAGCAGATAGAAATGAATGCCATCCAATGCAAGAAAAATATATATCGAAAAGTAAACATTTTATCTAGTTGATCATTACATATCCAGTTCTAATTTTGCTTCTTTTTCGCTATGAATTCCAAGAATAGTAGAAATACTTTCCACAGGCGATATACTGTTAATAGTGATAGGAAGGTATAATTAATTTGATGGATTTGTTATAATATATCAAGATCGTATTATCATTTGTGTGATAATCTTGTATTATTTCTTAAAACAGACTACTAATGAAGCTTGCCTTTTCATTTGATATAGTGTTGGAACTGGCTTAGCAGAATCTTGAGGTCTAATGGGGCTGCGATTGAATATCGTTGGCATTAAATTACGCACACCGCCGCCACTAGTTGTATCGTGATAATTGTCGTGCTGTTGTAAATTAAAAGTTTAGGAAGAACAAGTTTTTAGTTTATGTGCTTATGTGATTTTTTCTAACCTACAAGTTGATTGGATAATTGAAACGAAGAATAAAGGCAATATGTAGGCAAGATTTAGATCAATATATATATACTAAACTTACTGCAAAAGATGAGGTGGTTGGCGAGACTCGATTTTTTTTCCGAATAATAATATTATCGTAATTTTTGTGATCTGTATAGACATATCCGAAACCCATAAAAACGACGATAAAGATACCGCCAATAACACCAAAAACTCCTGCTAGGATTGATTGTGTATTATTATACTAGAAATAGTAAAAGATTAGGATGATGAGATAAATTACGTAAATTTGAGCAATTTCTATTATAAAGTGATCCATATTGACTACTAACGATCGTTCGGGTATAATAGTCAAGGGATATGCAACCGCGGTTTTTCGCAGTATTTGCCGATGTAGAAGCACTGTTATGATTCTGAGATAAAATAATAAAGGCGAAGAAATGCATCAGCCATAATGAATTACTTTTAGCTAAGATATCAGTATTCTTTACTATATAGTACAAATAGTACGAAATTATTAAGATTGATGCAATTACCGATGTCGTTGATGAATAAGGTATTGGGATGGAACTTGGTAAAGTGTTAAATTCGACTTTTGTGTCAGATGTAAAATTAGTTGGTGCAGACTATAGGAGTATAAACATATATATATTAACATTATTTAGAATTACCGTTGCTAATTGTCAGTCTTAACATATGCAATTGTAATGATATTTTAAAAATTTTTTTCTTTTCATGCCATTTTACAATAAAAGTTAACAAGAAGTTCACGTACATACAATACAGATAGCTTACCTGAGGTGTAGACTGAATTAAAGCTCGATAAGAGACGGTATAATTCATTCCAACTATGCATATAATAAGATATTTCAAAGCATGGAATGAGTGATAAAATAAGACAGATATTCATAAAGGTTATTTTATCTTAGCATTATACTACTCCCCAAAAAAGGTAAACAAAATCTTATCGTAAGGAATAAAAACATTATATGAGCATCCTTTAGGATAAATTACGGATAAAACATGGTGAAATCATGATATTTCGATTTTACTTACAATTCAAAACTGGTATAGAAATGTTAGTTATTAAGAATCGTCCACGCTGAATAACTGAAAAGTATGTAGTCGGTATCTGAGGAATAAATCCTGGACTAACCGATGTATCCAGTGTATCAAATATCGTCACATTATATGCCAAAGCTGTTGATGAAATTTTATGCGAAACAATAATTTTGAAATTGACAGAAGCTTGCAAATTGGTTTCTTCCGCCTATTTTACAAGAACAAATAATTAAAATGGAAACTACATATACCACCTAGTATAAGTTAGAAAGAAAAATGTCCATAACATGGAACAATCATTTTAGCGCTCATCATACCTTAGCCTCCTTCCAGACTTTTAAAATTGGTCGGACTAAATCTAGGATTATTGATTGATCAAAAGTTGCTCTATCTATGTTATTATAAGTTGGGCGAAACCAGAGATTGCAGCGTTCTCTGGGTACTGGAATGGCATTATACGGTGAAGTATGTAGAAAAAGAAACTGTATTGGGAAAAAAGAAAAAGCAATAGCGTTTATGGCAATAATATGAGGTAATAGAAAAAGAGTTTTACAGCTACAGATAATGACAAATCATGATAATTAGCTAGTATGATGATAAGATTGCTAAATGACCGGTCGTGAGGCTAACCTCGAGATCGACGGTAGTCATGGTAGAATTGGCATTTGGTGAAAATTCTACGTCTCCCATATTGATAAAAAATGAAGTTGTAGAGGTAGAATAATCGAGTGAATTACTGAGGCCAGTTAATGTAAGTGATTGTTTATTGACGTTGGATGATAGATGATAGGTGACGGAGGGTTTTGGCGGAGCATAAAATTGAGTTAACGAAAGAGCAGGTACATTGTTTGGATTGATACCAATAGCGTCTGTAATAATAGCATAGATAATGTTACATTTCAAGATTGTGCAATACTCTTGACTGTCTGTACGAATTAAAACGCTGTTAATCAGGATATATTTGTTTAGATTGAGTTAATTATTTACCAACGACTTACCAATATTGAAGATAATGTGATTTCTGCCTCTAGGTAATTGAATTGGTACGACAACTTTAAGGGTTTCGCCTTCAGTCAGGTTATTTAGAAGGGTAGCAGGCCAGTTTAAAGTTGGATAAGTTATTGGGTTTTGAATTGTAATTCCAGCCATTCTAATACTGGTAGTATTTGATATTGTTTTCATATTACCGTCTAGTTTAATCAGGGGAGAAAAATTACGAATTTAAAATCATATAGCGTATTCTTATCTATTCTTAATTGATATTCATTTATCTCTCATTTTCTAGTTATCATCAAAGCGCTTTCAACAAGTAACATATTTATTTTTTCATATTTTATTGGCAAAATGAGAAGAAAAAAACATCGGTATAGTGGCTTACCGTCGTCAGTGTAATTAGCTGAGACTGTAAAATAAATATATCGTCGTTGTTTGACATTATTATCCACGGTGAAATCTGCTTCAAATTGAATATCGAATTTAGCGTTTAAAAATTCAACAACAGCTCCGTCGTAAAAAGTTTGTGATGCTAATGTTGTATAGTTGTCAGTAGGAGATTCAGCATAAGAATAAGAGCTGGGCAAGCGATTTTGCATACCACTGATAGAACCATAAAGCGTGACATTACTTGTACTCGTTGGGTTTATAAATTTATTGGTTAAGTTATAAATCAATGTTAACTTTGAACCCACAGTAGGAATAGGATCATTGGATTTAATAGCCAATATTAAGTGAAAGGGTTGACCAGTGGAATTGTCGTTATCCGCATTCACAAGACTCCAATTACAAATACTAACCAGGAGTAAAAAATAAACTAAGTTACCACCATCAATGGCCATTTTATCAAGGTGACGGCTAGGCCCTTGAATTTTTATTCAATTGCAAGAAGAAAAAGAACAGCAGTAAATTGGAGACAGTATAAGAACCAAATCCAAATAGAAACTAGGCCGTCGTTTCAATTAGATCAACGAGCCCTATTTCGAAGTTAAAAGAGATTGAATTTTTTCCTCTTCTCCCCCAATGTTTGAAAGTTATGAATGACAAAACAAAAGGTAATCAATTTCTTGTATAGGGTTGCGTTAGTGTAGGGGGTCCTATTTAGAATAGCGAAAAAAATATACTAGTAGAATTAGCAGAGCTTACAGTAGTATATGGATGTGGCTGGCCATCGTGACTGACAAGTAGCGCATTTTGCATATAGTGCTGATTGAAAGTGTTGCTATAGTAACCAATGATCTACGCTCTTGTCGACGTCACTATGGGTGGAAAACGATCTAAAAATAAGTTGACTTCTGTGATGTAGACGTCTTGCCGGTAGATCGTGGTACCGTATGCTATGTGGTACTGGAAAGATGGACGTACGGTCAAGAGGGCTCTCACATGGTGCTTACTGTAAGTAGCTTCTTCTTGCTCAAGTTGGACATTAGTTCTGCCAATATTCTTATGACTTTAGTACGAGAGAGTGCCTGGAAAATAGGAAGGCAGCAAGTGGAAGCTTGCCCCTATCCTATTTTGTATTAGAGTTCGAAGAAGAATATCATCGGTATAGTCATTTAAACAAACGTAATATTCTCAATAGAAGTTCAGCACTAGAAATGCTCGATTGTCATACTAGTACCCTTTATCGATCAGCAAGCACTAGGAAATAGGCACTGCCGCTTTGCCATACTAGAGAGTAGTCTACTATATCATACGGTAGTCCAAGCTTAATGGATACCAGCGAATTTTCAATATGGCACCGCCGATATGGCCATGACGTAGTTGTGTACAGTTTTATTTTTAGACTGGGCGGAGGCATAAATAAATCATTTAAAAGGAGGGCTATAGACAATACCGTTGTAGTCTATGAAAGTTATTGATCATTGTATGGATGGAATGAACAAATAGACACAATGTTGTTCATATTCTATAAGTGGCAAAACTGCATTTGTACTTAGAGCAATTCTAGGCAGGCTTGGCAAATTTCGAAATAGGACCGTTCAAAATGAAATAATGGCTGGTACTACCGTGATGTACTATATATTAGGCCCAACCAGTATGGATACTGACAACGTTGATACTTTGCGTAAATAGCTTCAACTTCGCAATGTATCAGAATGGATAGCATTTATATTGGCTGGGCCTAACCTAACTTGCATGCTGTGTTTGGCAATGGTATTCCGATTACGAATGCCTTGTATAGGATAGGAGTATGACAGGATATAGAGTAGTAGGACAGCCTAGGCCTACAGCAATATCTGTACTCCGGCATTTTTGGTATTAAGGAGACGTCAGACTTGTAACTTGAAATGAATTCTGCGGTATCTTACTCAATTAGCATTAAATTGGTATACGAGTGCGTATTGAAATACTATACGTATATTTTAGCACAGTAAAGCACGCATGGACACTAAGTATTACAAGCAGGGTAGTAGACTAGTATCAATTAAATACATAGAACATCAATCTACGTTAGGACATCAACTTAAATAATCCTAATTCGTTTTGCCATGGTTATTTGATTAGCAAAGAGACGCACTGTCAAGTATTGCAATACAGTATAGGGCAGTAAAACGCCTACGATTAGATTTAAATAGTTTATACCGCGGAGATTATTCCTTGGCTAATTTTCACTGAACAGCTTAGGATCGCAAAGGTTACTACTTCAAGAGACTGCTGATTCATAGCTTGTCGTGAACGTATATCAATGAAGTGATTACATTGCTGTATATAGTAGTATTAACTCTACCGAATAGATTCTATCATCATGGCGTTATGATGTACTAAAAATGTAATTCACAGCTTATTATGAACGTGTATTGATACAATGATCACATTAGCGAGTTTAAGACCAACACAACGTACATCGTTGACAAATACTTGTAACTATTCGCCGTCCGCTCATCTTAATAGCAGCATTAACTCTACCCGACAGAATTGCATCATCTACTGTATGTGTTACCCTGTACAAAAAAATTAATATTTTGTGACAGTATTAATTAACTCTATGAAGGATTTTCATCATAAATATGCTACGTTGAGCTATAAACCGGACAAAATTACGGTGCCCATGACTATACCGTCAGTAATGCAGTAATACGCAGAAATGGGTTGCATGATGGTATTTCATCCATACGTTCTTTACTTATCTACTTATAGACAGTATTAATCTTGGTAGATTCAGCTATTCTTTGAATTAGAGCATTATGAAATTAAACGCTATATTGCAGTACTGGTATATAACGTTCAAATATTAAATAAAACAGAGATTCACAAATACTGTACAGTATACGATAAATTTATATACGATCGTATTGTCTTTGTAACTGCGTACTTAATTAGGGCTCGCTCGCGATGGTATTTTTAAAATTTACTGTATTGTCGTTAGTCTAATCTCAATCTTAAAAAGCAATATTCCTATTTCCGCTTATCCGGTAATGCACTTGACGCCTTTATTAGAGAAAATGGCTTATGCATGGCTTCCTGCTAGATATATCATGTATTTACTTAATGATCTATACTACGTCTTACATATACCTAGACAGGGTAATGAAGTTGAAATGCAGTCATCGTTGTAGAACTGGCGTCTGCTAACCATTAATAATCTCTGGTCTTAAGAAGTCACTTTATCTATTAATAGTAAATATGACCATTCGTTGCTATCTTATAAATCATGCAGGAGTCTTGCTGGATGACAGTCTTTCATACTTGCCAGTGCAGTATGTAACGGTTATGGTTTCAATGATTGATCTAGCCGGTCGGCAATCATTCCAAAATTTTATTCAAAAACAATACAGTGCCGACAAATAATTATAAGAGTTTATCGACATAAGTTCAAAATATATTAAATGAACAGTTAATCATTAGATATATTAGCCACCTCATATCAAAAGCTTCAAATATAACTAAGCTAACTTCAATAAATTCATTATGTAATTTTACCAGCTACAGCCAGCAATATTCTAGAGGCTTGCGCTGTGCGACAGCTAAGCCCGAACAATTTGCAACATACAGCACACTTAAGCTAGAACTGAAGCATTGGTATTAGTTAAATCGTCTACTGAACTTGCGCTACCCCTTTGCTAGTTCAATGTTTCCAAACACGAATTGATAAAAAACAGTCGAAATTGGACAGTTACATGACCGTAATTAACATTTAGATTTTATACGAGTATTGAAAAAGGAAAGAAAGTGCAATATCTGAACAATTAATTCAGAACGCTTAAAAAGATGATATGACATTGGATAGAGTGCATAACATCGAGTTTTATGATTCTATCAATGAACGATATCTTAAATCAAAGCATTTTAATTAATTAGTATGTTTAAGTAGTACCATTTTCACTATTTCGCTTGCGGCCTAGGACCAACGCCGCCAGCAAAATCATATACTTTGTTTGCTACCGCATATGCTAATTCATCAGTCAGACTTCGAGTTTCCGCTTCTGCATAAACTCTAACGACATCTTCAGTTCCCGATGGTCTAAGTATACAAAGATATATCCATGATTTCCATCAGCACAATTATTATGTTATCAATCATTCACGAAAATATGCAGTTTGGAAGATTTCTTTAAAGTAAGGAAACTATAGTGTATCTGGCTAAAATCGTCATAGATAAACCAAAAAGTGTTTAAATATTGCGTTTACTTGCGTAAGCCAATTGACTCAGCGCATACCTTACAAATGATCTACCGGCCTTAACTGCTGAGACTAGCTTGTTTATTTCTTCTTGTAGACCTTCAGGTGAGGTGGTTTCTGTTTCCGCTTTGATCGTTTTTATAACCGTGCGATCTTTAACCTACGGACAAATTATTTTATTTACTTACAAATGAAAAAAATTGAGAATCGAGGTTTAAATTGCTTTCGCGATCATTAATATTTACAATTTCACAACTACCAAATAATATTTATTTATTAAATCTGGTACTCAATGCTTTGTAATAATCGGATAAAAATTACTGTAATTCGCGTATATACGACCAACCTTGACTTTTAATTGTCGGTTCGGTAGATCAGAGTACATGCTGTTCCAATCATTTAAATTGTATCCTTTTCTGTTAAGTATTGTTTCAATTACTAAAAAGTCAGAAATGGCATCCCCAACGGTCTAGTGTAACGAAAAATTTAGTGTTTTAGTTGAAATTTTCTTCTACAAAGGAAGCAATTGCCATTATATTTAGGAAATTATAGTACATTTTACCTCATTAACTAAATTGATAAAGTCTAGCAATTCCGACATTTCTTTAGATCTAATATGTGATAATAAAGCGTACTTCAATAACACCATTGCATTATAGTATAATTGTCCAATCCAGTTTGAAACTTACTTTACACTTTTTATTTTCTCTACAGCTACATCACTGAAGATTACCTAATAAATTTAAATGCTTTATTTTAAAACGTAATTCTACATACTGCAATAAGTTAATACAATTGTCATACAGTTCCGTGGCCATTTGCTTCAAAATAAACGCCAATGTCATACTCTAAGGCTTTATGATGTAGGTGTTTTACGCCAGTCTTTACACAAGACACGGGAACGTCCTATTCCAGTTTAAAAAATTATATGTAGTTAGAAAATGGAATAATGCCTATGCTATTGGATATTAGATCTGATAACAAACCACTGATTTTTGAAGATATTCCGTGGATCTTCCATTTGCATAAGCCGTTTGAATGACGCCTATTAATATTAAAATATGTACAGTATAGAGATTGTACACACGTGAATATGGCATCGATGGAACTACTACTATTGCAAATTACCTACCAAGGTTTAGTTTCAGGTTGGCTTTCGAAAGTAAATCTTTAATAAAACTAGCAATCTACAGAAGAACACCACTATTAATTTCAAGCAGTAAGGCAAAACAAGTGATAATTAATTTAAGGCTTTATTGATTGTTACCAATGTCGACATTTTATCTCCATCCAACAGTTTAAATTCATTATCTACAATAGAAGGCATTAGTACAAAATGGCCCTTACGTATGTAAACGGTATTAGCTGTGTTTGAAGGTGTTGAAATCTACTCACCTTTACCAATGTAAAAATATAAGATTCTATCTGCATCACCATCAAAACTGACACATTTTTCGTGCGGTTGGACACGTATACCTGCATGTATTAAATTCGATGGGATAACATCACTATACGTGTAGATCTTATATTGTGCAAGACATTCTATACTGACCCTCAGGGAGACATTGATTAATTTTTACGTAGTCAGCTCCACACTGTTGTATGCGATATTAAGTTGATTAGTAGTCATATTTAAGTTGGAGATTGAATATATTGCTGCAAATTAATTGCAAGGTATTAAATTACCTTGTCATTTAATTTTCCACTAGTACCGTCATTGAAAACAGATATATTTACACTGTTGCCGAGGTATTTTTGCAATTGCTTGATTTTGTCAGCTCCGACACCATTCGCTCCGTCTACTTTGACACCTAATTTTGCTTGATCGCCGATCTTTAAAAAAGATATATTAATATTGAAAAATGTTGATTATTTATTACACTGAGATGGTGATAGAAAAAAATTTTAAATAGTGACTCACTTGTAACTTTAAGAATGCATTTGATAGCTTTCTATAATACCCCTCTTCGGTCGGTTCACCGTATTGCCCATTGGTGTTAATGCAGCGTACAATATAATGTAGCTGAGGGGTAGATAAAATTCCTATATTTGATAGATATATGTCGTTATGAATCTCTAGAGACCCAGTAGATATCGATTTACGTCATCCATATAATAACAGTGTAACTTATTGAATAATACTGACCATAGTCTTGATAATCCTTCTGTATGCATTTTGCACCTTCAATTACAGCTTCTGCTAACTTTAATCCACTTGGTCTGGAAAAATAAATGCAATTCGAATATTAGTTACGAAGTAGTGGCAATAATGGAATCTCCGCAAAATTGACAAGTAAAGCAGAATAGCGAGAGTTACATCGTAGCTTCTATTTCGAGAATAATTTGGAGCATATTTTACCTAGTGTCTCTAGCTAGGCAAACACAAGACTTTGCATTTAAATCTAATCCAGTCTCTTTCACGATGGCTTCTAATGCTGATCCTAAATCTTCAGCCCTACAGATTATTAAATAGAATAAGACGAAAAGGCTATAACATTACCCTTGAAGTTATGTTTTTGAATCGTTTTTTACTGTCTACGATATTTTTGTTAATTTAGTGCAACGGCTTTTATTTCAGATTATTCGTTGTAACAATAGAATCTGTACCTGCAATTTGCTAGTGAAGTAGCGTAACTTTCCCATGAGTCCTTCAGCATTTCTCCCATTGGATCGATCAATTTAACACCATTATCCTTCAGGAAAGAGAATTTCGCGATTATAGGGCTTTATATCGTATATTATTTACTTGCAATGTATTGTTTCATAGTCATGCCCTTCATTACCTCAACCGGATTATGAGACGCTGTAATCATGACACCAATGGAAGCTAAAAGTTTAAGATAGATTACGAAAGTTATCTATATGTATACTGCAGTTATGAGATATCCTGCACATTGATCTGAAATGATATCTTAACGTCCAAATTTGATTACAAAATTATACCGAGTTGTTGAGTTAAATCTAGGGCATTGAAATATTATACTGAAACGATACCTGAATTCTGATAGCGCTAGAAATGAGTTCATTTAGTTTAGAAGTATACAGATACTATTACCTTGCGTAGCCTTTGAACGTAATGCTGCCAATAAACCCATACGAAACATAACTGGTTCTAGAAGGTCAGCCCTATAAACAGTATCACCAGCGATTAATTGAGAACGCTTTTGATAATGTATATCTACGGGTCTATTTTAATATTCATTGATAGCAGGATAAATTATAGGATTGATAATGATTAGCATAGCTAATCAACATGGTACTTATGGTCATGCATGTTATTGCTCGATCTTGATAGTACCATTTACACATCTATTGATTGTTTGTAAAGATGCTTATTTCTTTTCTCATTGGTCTCAAGATCGCGCAATAATGAAGTGTGGCAACATTGCATATCAAGTCATTGCATTTTGTGGATATACATTATCGTATCCTAACTTGAGTAGGTAAAATTGATATCAATGTTACAGTAGAAATTGAGTATAGTTAATGTCAATAAGTATTCATGAGATATGTATGAGATAATGCGACTTAAAGATAATTATATAATTCAATCTTACTGTAGACTCTATCGTTGCAGCGTATTAATAATACTGCATAATGTCCACTCAAATATTGTACCAATAGTACGTTAAGCGGTGTTTCCGATACCTGATTGAACAATATCAATGAATTATAAGTATCTATCTAGGTTCATTACGGCCATCCATTAGTCTCATTTTATCTCAACAATCAATAATATCAAAACATCTTAGCTTGAGTCCAAGCACAAAACCTTAATCTAAAGTGAAGTTGTCAAATAAATTGAATCATCCATAAAGATACTAGTTTCCCAGGTAGCCTAATACAGACTGGAGTGGCTGAAAATAGCTACATATCATAGTGGATAGACTGCATAGACCAGTCAAATTGTTGGTATAAAATTGACAATTTTCAATGTTGACACTGGTTATTTTAGTTCATTAACGCCCTACCCATTACTACCCATCTAAGTATACATACATACTTTGTACGAAATCCAGCAGTTCCATAGGTGAATTTAACCGCTGGTAATGGATATTGACTTGCTACAGATTGAAGGGTTTCAATATTGATCGACATGATGATTGGGATGGTGGCCAATACTACGTTGAACGCTTTCCTTCTTGAATCCAATGGCAAATTCTCCTCTACTCCAGCAGCAAGCCAGTAGAAAGATGAGAGACGAGTTGCAACAGCTGCAAGCAATCAATGGCCACGTCAGGTATGGTAATGTACCATGTAAGAGTAGAGGTATAGTGGCAGCGTATAGCAGGATATGCTGGCAATGATTGTTTGGAATAGAGTTTGCAGCGTCCGGTATCAGGTCTGTCCGTGTCGTGTATGGTAGTGTTCCATGTAGGAGTAAAGGTATACTAAAAGCGTATGATAGCATATGTAAAGAGTGATGCTTGTATCACTCTTTATTGTCAACACGAACTGGATGATGGCGTTTATTTCCACTCAGGACTAGTCAAGAAGTCTTGGGGACTTCTAGATATACTTCAAGTATTTCTAGAAGTCCATGGTCAAATTTAGGAATTAACTATACTGCACCCTAGGATATGGTCACAGTAGCGTTCACTTGGCTAGTAGCTGATGCAACTGTGCTCCTGTCCTTTGAAACGCACTTATAAACATTCTACACTGGATCTACACTGGATTACACTGCACTGTGGTTCAAGGGACGAGCAACAACATCAAGGCAGAAGAAAAACGATAGAGTAAAACAATCGAGATTTCGCTTTTGCAATATGGTGAACGATCATTTTGCAGTCCTTCGATCGCTTTTGCTGTACTCCTCATCACGGATCAAGTGGACATACGCCAGAGCAATATCATAGGTGTTCAACACCATATTAGAGTATATATCTGTAATAAATGCGTCTCACAATAACAATCTTAGTCAAATGGTATTGTCTAAAAGGCTTTAAATTATAAGGTTTTAGGAATAGTAGAGCAATAATTAATTACTACAAGAATCTGGTCTAAAATCGAAAGTATTCCGAGCTCAAAGCCGCTTTGAAGTCTCTTCTCCCTGGTGAGCTCATCTCTGCAGTTCTTATGTAGTGTACATTTAGTTAAATTCATTTATGATAACCTGATAACTCTACATCAGACATGGGTCATCATACAAAATACTTTTCTCTAATAGTACATCATTATTTTCTACAATCTAAATCCTTCTACTTAAGGTGTCACTACTCTTCTATTAACGTCTAGCCCCTTTCTCCGAAGGGCATCTTAACCACTACAGTCTTTCTAGCTACATCAATCTTGTACCATCATTAGTCAACTGGCTGCTATTAGTTATTAACAGTTTCTGATATAGTAGTTAGCAATCATCTAATATTAGCTTCACGGTAATATCTATTCAGAGTAACCTAACTATATCAAATATAGCTATCCGTAAAATCAAATATGGGTATATCACTACAATATCAATGAAAACAAGTGGAGTACATGGCATATAAGTAGAAAGCAACGAAACAACCTTTATCCTGATGTTTTCCGTCAGACTACTTTATGTACTCTGGTATCAATGAAAACAATATAGGATTTGTTTCATCTGCGTCCAATTGCATGATGTGAATTTAAATAATTCATTTTCCAGAGGTGTTATAGCATTGTACTGAGCGATCTGTTCGCAATCAAGACTTTAATGCAGTAAATGACTACTTGGGAATTCATTCCTGTGAAGAGTACAGTTCAAATGGACACTTGACCAGTAAAATAAGTTAGTCTGGTCGTTTTAGACAGGGAAGTGTTGTTGCCAATCTCTTTCTCTCTCTTTGGTTTTTACTAGTCCCCTATTGGATTACAGTACTACAACAGTCACAGTGGCTAATTGCAAACAACAAGTGCTGGAAATGAACTACTAGATGCGATATATTGAGTAGTCCCTAAAGTAATAAAGTTATCCAGTAGTAGTCAAGATTGCACACTCCATATAGGAGAAATGCTTACGATGCAACTTGGTCTAACGCATTGGCAGATTGTTTTCTCTTTAAAGTCATACAGTACCCTCATAATTGAGTATCGATATCATAGTGTACAACCAATAGAGTTCTTCAAAGGGGTAGAGGATTCATTTCTGTCCAGAATCAATTGCATGATAATGTATAATCTGATTATGAATAATTACAAAATAATCAAGTCCTAATAATAAATTGATTGATCTAATTTGGTCAATAAAAGTACAGTAGATAGAGATGGAGACCTATCGCATAAATTGTTGCCTACTACAGTATTGATTGGACACTCTTGTATCAATACCTCGATACGCCGCGAAACGTCATAAACTCGCTATGGAGCTTTTACGCATGCGTCGTCTCTACGTAGCAACGTCTTGACGTTCCTTCAGCTTTCAAGAGTTTAGATTTTAAACTGGCTCTGGATTTCCAGTTGGAACAATAGTTTCTATGCAACTGTAAAACACTTACACAATAAATGCAATAATGTCTGATGAAGAAGGCGAAGTGATTAGGGATAAGCAAATTAAAGTAGTACTCTTAGGCGATGGTACTGCGGGAAAGGTATTGTACAAATTTGAATTCAATAATTAGTATAAAATAGAGGAGAAATGGATTGACGATAGCAATAGGATTCGTACGATGATGATCGATCTAAGCAACGTTATATCTAGAGGAAAGATATTTCTTGTCATGCTATGGAAAAGATTTTATTATAGTTTTGATAAGATTGGGATAGGAAAGAATAATGCCAATTTCTTTTTTAATCATTTCCTTTAATTTATGCCCAATAGACATCGATCGCATCTAGATATGCTCAAGGTGGTTATAATAGAGAATACCGTCAAACTGTCGGGCTTGATTTTTTTCTAAGGAGGATAGTATTGCCCGGTACGCTAATTGAAGGATTGAATTGATCCTATGTTAACCAAACTATATTACAGAATGATTCAATCAATCTATTGCTCGAATTTCCATAAAAATCTTGCTTTTATGCCAGTCTTTGATAAATCAGTTAAAAATTGTATTAACCGGCAGAATTTATATGTATATATACAAATCATGATTAGGTGATGTTCATGTAGCAATGCAAGTTTGGGATATTGGTGGTCAAACATTAGGTGGCAAGATGGTTAATAAATATATTTACGGCGCTAAGGTGATGAACGTACTGAAATGAAAGATTTTTCTCTTTTGAAAAACTACTCTATTGTATACATGGACATGGACTTTATATTTTACGAAGTGGTTAACTTTATACCTTACTAAAAATAATATATTTTGACTTTACAACAATTATAGGCTGTTCTCTTAATTTATGATATTACCAATCCTAATTCATTTGAAAATTTAGAGGATTGGTATTCTCTTGTTCGGAATATGTTTAAATCAGAAAAAATTCCTCATATAGCAATAGTCGCCAATAAAAGTAGGTATTTACGACGAAGGATGCCTTATCGAATATTATAATGTAGCTAATACGCTGCATTTTAGAGCTGTTTGATAAACATAGAGAATTATACATGTATACGCATAGAAACAAATCACATAGTATTTTTTTAAGGACTACCCTGCATTACTGGTTAAAAAAACAATATCTATTTATCTGCCACTAGAAGAATCACTAAACAGAATAATGCGCTAATTGTGTATCATTTCTACACTATTAAAATTGTCAAACTTTATATCACAATTAGTAGCGTCTATAAATTATTGTCAAGGACTTTATTTATAATTATAATGACGTATTTGATAATGTGCAATTTAGTGGATTTAGAACATATGAGAGCAGTAAAGCAGGAAAAACATACTAAATTTGCTCAAGAACACGGATTTTCCAGGTTTGAATTGACTAACAGTAAAATTTTCAATCATTTATAAAGTTAAACATGAAATTTTTCAATACTTTAATTGATACTGTATTTTTGGTTTATTATTTATTTGATGGCATTACTTGTCTATTTGACCCTATTAGCCATTTCATTTCGGCAAAAACAGCTGATCAGGTAAGCTGCTAATAGCTATGAATCTTGATATAAAAGAGGAATTATTTTTACTTCCATTGAATTAATTTAAATGTCTTATGATTAGGTTGAGACTTGTTTTCAGCGAGTCGCAGCTGAGGTTTTAGGGATAAAGTTATCAAAGCCGGAAATAGAAGAAACTTCGGTATGTTTGCCTAACTTCTTATCAAACACTGTAGTGAATATATTCTACCTTTAAGTTAGGCCTGCTATCTCCAATTTGGTTTCAATTTTATCTATCAATCTATGTAGCGAGTAGTAAAGGCCGAAATTGTCAAGTATGATGGTGAATCATTGGCTAATGCTATGCCACCAGTCAAACAACGAAGTATGGCTTGTACGATTCAGTGATAGAGAAATATATGGGAGTAAACTATGCAAAAAATAAAAATAAATCTTGCAGCCTCCAATCTGTAATCAAATATAGAATATGGAAGGTTATGTATAGAGAACTGGATTAAGATACCTAGTAGATACTGGAGACGTCAGCTATTTGACATGAAAAATGATACATTTTCATTTTGGAGTCTTATGGCAAGGTAACACTAGTGTAAATAAGAAGAGCCAGTATTGATAATGTAAAGAACTGATCCATTACATAGGATTAATGCATAAAAATTTTGTAGTTATCCTCGTTATTAGTTCAGAATGATACCTAGAGTGGGTTGACAAGTATATTACTGCAGGCGGCACCATGTTAAGCGATTTATGACGTACATATGTACTAGTACATGCACATCATTTCTTGCTTGAAATGATACTTGTATGTAATACGTATTATTTTATCCGAATTACTTTTCTCAAATATTGAGAGCTAATTAGAACCAATGTGACTATCTTCTACGGAGAATGATATAATTTTATAGTAGTACAAATGCCATATAATAAATATAAAAATTGTTAGTGTGCATTGATGATATAAAGATAACATTTAGAATCAAGTAGCGAATAATAATAATTAATAATTTCGAATATGCTCATGTTTTCAATTAACGTTAATAAAAATGTTCTCATCAAATTGTTACGCTTAGCATGCTATTATTGAAAGATATTTTAATTTTATATCCAAAGTATGGACTAGTAGAAACTTGGAATACATCTTTATTAGCATGCGATTATAGAACCTGATTTGATTTCATTCTCTAATCTTTGCTAACCCTAAATAGTTACGTTTTATATTTTGGTAGATTGAGAAAGCTCTAGTTCATTTAATTCAATACTTCTGAAAGCAAGACTGCTAAGCTGATCAGGTTGCGTTATTAACTTAGCGTAGTAAAGTAAGGGTGTAATAACTGCGTCTAGTAAGTGAGAGCATCGCTATCGAGGGGTACAACCATCTGATAAGGCTTATATTGCCACTGTAGGTGAAGTTTATTTTTATGAATAATATTTTATCGCTTGTTTTAGGTACATTGCTCTTATCCGTGCTAGTAGATTATGGTGCCATTAGAATTTTAAATATTTCAACTTTATGATATATAATCTCTTGATTTGAATGATATTATTTGCATTGTACAATAACATTAGCTTGATCTGCGTAAGTAATATTGCTACTTAATAATGGCCTCTCTATAGAAATGCGATAGCATTCATTAACATAATCGCTAAGGCTATTGAATTTGCAATTCAACCTACGCCTTTATTGGCCAAATGCCCAGTGGTAATTATTTTTTTTTATTAGGACGGTTAATCCTCTCACCGATGCTAAGGCAAGACGGGCCATTTTTTTATGGATTTTAAGAATGCCTTTTAATGAGCTTGTACTGGAATTTTTAAGTTGTATTGGTAATATAATCGCTACTAGTATTACCGTAGTAGATGGAGCACTAAGGGATAATGTTTAGAATTCTTTTTTGATAGAGTAGTGTGGAAATTGAATTCTTTAGTAGTTATTTACTGCGAATATGGTATAACATTATATGCAGTTGTAATAACGCTATGCTTTAGATACGATAGATCAGTTTCAATATATCGTCGTCTTACATACGATATTTTACACGTCCATTAACAGATTGCAATACCGAAATTTTACGTTATTTTACTCCGTTTCCATCAACTTTTCAATAGGGTGATGAGCAAGTTTGGACTGATCTTACTCAAGATTTTTATTGGATGATAGCACTGTATAAAGCTATAATTTAATTGAATATATATATATATATATGCGTCTATATTAATTATAAGACATTCATATACTGTATATTGAGGCCAATCCTAGAAATGTCAAACTGTCTGGTATTGACCTCAACATAAATATTGTAGTAGGGTAATGAAGATGCTAATTTACTATTATAACACACGCCGGTGATACTGTTAAGTTGCAAGTCGTTGCAATGACACTCTTGGAATTGCTTTATCCGCAGAATCAATCAATCCAGTCACTATTTACAGATAAAATCGTATGTAGTACTCAACATCTACAGAATGATGGAAGGGACTTTGGAGGACAACTGTAGCCTTTAAGTCCAAATGATGATAGAATACTGTGTAGTTGAGGGATTACGGACATGTTTGAACGGGCCTACAATCCAATCCGAGATTGATGATGGAGCACTGAACAAGCATTATAATTATCAGGGACTTTTCTCTTATAAGCCGCTATGATTATGATGATGATGCAAGAGAGGACATTTTTAGAGACAACAGCGGCCTTCAAGTTCCTATGGTCATAAGAGTAGTTGTGGAAATTAGACTGGTCTACAGTACAGTCAAATCGTGTTCTGCACTGTCATCAAGTCGAAGATAGATCCTGCAGCACTGAACAACCGTCATCATGATGAAGGGACTTTTACAGATAGAATTGAATTGGTCTACAGTACAATTAAATCGTTTCCTTCACTGTCAAGTCCAAGACATATCATTGGATTTATGTAGCAAACGTCAAGATGAAGGGAAACGGCCATACAATAGTTGTATTCCTTGAACTGGTCTACAGTACCATGGACTACTCAATGACATAGGTCATGGTTATCTAGTAGTCCATGACAGTACAATCCATTGGTGCTGTTCATCGTCATCTACTTAGGGGTTGTCATCAAGATGGAAGTTCAATTGGCCATACAGTAGTAAAGTAATTTATGCAAAATGATCAGGCCTATTGGCCATGGCTACAAACATCCTAATGTAAGGCAGTTTGTTTCAAGCCTTCTCCAGTCCAAATGGTCATAGAGTAGTACGGTAGAGTAGTTTGTGTGATCATCATGATTGGCTATTAGCCATGGCTACAAACATCCTAATGTAAGGCAGTTTGTTTCAAGCCCTTCTCCAGTCCAAATGGTCATAGAGTAGTACAGTAGAGTAGTTTGTGTGCATCATCATGATTGGCCATTACATGTCTAATGTATCAGTAGGACAGCTTAAACGAAGTGTATAATAAAATTTAAGCAAAATGATCAGGCCTATTGGCCATGGCTACAAACATCCTAACGTAAGGCAGTTTGCTTCAAGCCTTCTCCAGTCCAAATGGTCATAGAGTAGTACGGTAGAGTAGTTTGTGTGCATCATCATGATTGGCCATTAGCCATGGCTACAAACATCCTAATGTAAGTCAGTTTGTTTCAAGCCCTTCTCCAGTCCAAATGGTCATAGAGTAGTACAGTAAAGTAGTTTGTGTTCATCATCATGATTGGCCATTACATGTCTAATGTATCAGTAGGACAGCTTAAACGAAGAGTATAAAAAAATTTAAGCAAAATGATCAGGCCTATTGGCCATGGCTACAAACATCCTAACGTAAGGCAGTTTGTTTCAAGCCTTCTCCAGTCCAAATGGTCATAGAGTAGTACGGTAGAGTAGTTTGTGTGCATCATCATGATTGGCCATTAGCCATGGCTACAAACATCCTAATGTAAGGCAGTTTGTTTCAAGCCCTTCTCCAGTCCAAATGGTCATAGAGTAGTACAGTAGAGTAGTTTGTGTTCATCATCATGATTGGCCATTACATGTCTAATGTATCAGTAGGACAGCTTAAACGAAGAGTATAAAAAAATTTATGCAAAATGATCAGGCCAATTGGCCATGGCTACAAACATCCTAATGTAAGGCAGTTTGCAAGCCTTTCTCCTATGCAAATGGTCCCAGGCTTAGGATGTTGTTGTTGTTGTTGTTGTTGATTGTGGTGGCGGGCGATTTTAATTTCCCGTTTGACTGACCTGCATTGTACTGTAGGTGTACAATAAGTACTGTACTGGAAGTCTTTTCGTACTGCTCAACTGCAGCCTGGTCCCTTGTAGACGGTCATGGTACAAGGCTATAGTATAGACTACACTATGATCAGTTGAGTCCGGAATAGTACACAGTACTATAGGACAAGAGGCATTTTTCCGCCCAAATTAGCCTGCTACTACAGTATATCGAGTACAGTAGAAAGTGACGGGAGGCTACAGTAAAGTACTGTAGTCAGTTGGTGGCACTTGGTACTGACTAGCCTTGGCAGGAGTGATGCTGGATCACTCATACATAGACTATACAAACACCTATAATGGATGTCTTTCAACTGAAAGTCAACTAGGCAGTTAAGAGGTGCAGGTTCGGGCACGATTGGGACCGGATGGGTCTTACTATTATTTCTGTACTGGACCTAGCTGGAGTGGCAGTTATTTCTTGCATACAAACAGCCTAGTCAAAAAAGGGTAAAATTAATCCACATTTCATTGGTGCTCAACTGCATTCTAGCAATGATCCAAAAGGATGGATGATCAAACTATGGAAAAAGTAGAATTTGGCATATTAGAATGGGCATGCAGGTGTATCTGTCATCGCTTTATTACTAGTTTTGAATCGGATGTGCGTTGGAATGATGTCATTGTGGGTAAGTGCACAGATCGATCGACTCATCGTTGATCAAAACATGCAAAACTTGTTTTGATCCATGGCTAGGTATGGATCGAGCAGAAAGAATTCTTGTCTGCCTTGATCGATGTCTTCTAGCGGTAGATATCGTTTACTTTTTCATCACTTGCTATATCATGATACAGTACAAGAGTCTTTTCCAGCCCTTGATGGATAGGATAGCTGTAGAATATTTCAGTTTTTATCAGTTATTGCTGTCTATCATTTCCAGACTAGTATAGATATACGCATATTTCAGTTTTCGTCAATGCTAGATATTATCAAATATCTTCCCAACAACTCTCAATGTATTGATGCAATAGAATGGAGAGAAAGAATTCTTTCCAGCCTACAAGATGAAGGTTTCTCAAAAGATTGAAGATATAGTAGTATTCAGTTTTGGTCAATTTCTAGGTGTTATACTACAGAAAGAATCACTCCTAGCCTTGAAAGATAGGATAGCTTAAAAGGATCAATGTACATTCCTTTTCATCAATTTGCACGCGTCTATCTCACAAGCTTTGTGCTTAGACGTACAGTATAGTATTTTCGCATAGAAGGATTAATGACTTACAGTATTCTATAAGTTACGTTGTACAGCAATCGGGTTGGAAATGCCGTATCTACAGTATGCAATTTGTTAAATATGCATTCATAACACGCTTCTGCATAGTTAATCCCCTTGCGATATCGACGTTAGCTGTCATGGCGAACCTCGATTCCTAAAATGCAAATTCAGCCATACTCTACTACTACTTCCTAAATAGTCCATGATTGCACCACGCCTAGGTACATGATGACGATACCTACTTTAGCTGTCAAAGCCAACCTCAATTCCTTAAATGTAAATTCAGCCTGCTCTTCTACTACTTGGAAAGTAATCCATGATTGAGCCATGATAACAGCAAGTGAAGAACGAACAAAACACTCTTCATAACCCAGTGTAGAACACGTTCAAGTAACACCTATTTTATCCTCAGTTAGTTTTTGTCTCGCAGAGACAAAAACGCATGCTGTACAAGTTGGACAGTTTACAGTAGCAAATTAATTTACTATATTCAGGTTTTACGACTTCTAGTACGAGGGTTGACGCCATGGTGATATTCAATGTCTTGTATTCTATTCTATTACAGCATTATTACCAGCGATGGACACTACCAAAGCCAGTAGCGAATTAAACTTACGATTAAAACTGGCAGCAATGATTATTCGATTGCTAGAAATTGGACAAGCAGACACTAATACTGTCGATACAAGCAAAGTCGACGTCGACACTCTGCATCCGTTGGAAGAGTTAATGCGAATATTTAATGAAATTGCCTCATCTTTTCCATTTTCCAAATGCCAGCTAGAGGAAATGCGAGAAGCTTTCAAAGTTCAGGTAATACCATTTGCCAATAATGATCGTGCATTTGTTGTAATCAGTAACACTTATACCTAGTGCAATCGATGCGCAGTTGTTGACTAACTGATGTAGGTGTAGATGTATGGCAAATCATGATGTACTGTAGTAGTGTCTTCAAACTCGACATACTGACACTGTAGCGTTAAAACATATATGGATAAAAGATCAGGACTGATTATGCAAATGTCACTGTGGCGATAGCTTTGTATTTCTATCATACTTGTAAATAACCTTGCATCATACAATGGATACTACAATAAAAAGCTTAGGTAGTTATTTCTCGTCGTAACCAGCTACAAATAAATAATTCTTACAATCTTGTATCAAATTTTACAGCTATTTGGCGAATTATAGAGTGGATACTACAGTATATTCTATCACTTTAACACAAGTTTATGAAAGTATAATATTGTCGCTACTTCAATAGAATTAGTAATGTCTCATTTTGCTTAGCTTTTGCCATGATAGGTGATTTATATTTCTGGTATGTTAATGAATGACTGATCTGATTCTACTTGCAATGTTGCGATTTTTTACAAGTTTAAAGCAATTCCTTTTATTCGTTGTTATAATCTCTACTTTAGTTACAATTATTGTAATCTTTTTCCTGCCGTAACAAATTTTGCGTACGCTTTATGTAATGGAATATCGATTCAATCGCTTTTAGGCTTTTCTCTGTTGTTGTCGTAGTGGCGACTATCCAAGAGCCAACGCTGTATTAGAAAGACAATTTGGCACCGGAAGACATAAACAAAAGGTAAATTAGTATTGAGCTCATGACCTGTACGTATGTAGTCGATATTGCTTTTAATTTTTTACTATTCCAACTTATTGCAGCTAGTGGTCATTACCTTTAGTTTTGTTCTACATATATGATGTAATATCATTAATAGATTAGATTAAATTGCATGAAAAAGTCAATCAATAAATGAAATGTACTAAGTTTTAATCACATTTGATTACGGTTTATTACAATTATTCGATAGAAACGTCGTGAATTACACCAGCTATTGACTCAATTACAGTACGGTGAAGCTATGTCAGACTCTGAAAGTTACACCGACTTTCTTAGAAACCTGGGTAAATTTTTAGAAGATCCTATCAAGAAATTCAGTATGACCCCGCTGCACCTGTTTATAACTGAGGTAACGCAGTTACTATTAATCTTTATGATATCATAGTCTTACTAGATTAAATAGAACAATTATTATTTAAGTGAATGATAGCACGCTAGATCATCTCTTCCTAATAACTACAACGCAATTATTCCTCCAAGCCATTTACTTCCATGAATATAAGTGTATCTAAATGTCAGTAGTGAATGAGTTATACTTCGCATAAATGTTATACCTATATCTCCTACACTCATAAATAGCGACCTTTTAGTTGAATTTGAATTAGTTCCTTTTCTTACGACTTATAATCTAGTAATTACAACTCCAGTTCGTCTTCGTATGGACTAGTACTCACATTAGCATATGCTGGAATTTATACAGTACGATAATAACAATAGTAAAAATGTTATGTGAACTGCTGTACGTACTTACCGACGTGGCGTAAGGTAACGTCAGAGTATGATGGGAGATGCAGTAGCATTTACTATGCTAATTCACTATTTTATTTCCGAATGCATAGAATGATCCTAGCGTGCCTGAAAAGGATGCTTTATCTAATGATGACAACCAGCCTCGCAGGTGAGGGTACAATGTACATACATTAACAGTCTTCTGTAGTAGTACTTCTAGAGCTAATCTAACCTTTTAGTAACATTTAAACTATTGACTGTGGAGCTCTTTTACACGTACTTAAATCTTTGCAATCCCGTTTATATATATATTACTACATGCAATAAAATAACTGTTTACATCTTACCTCAGTGATGACGTTCAAGAGTCTGCTGATAAGGACATACATACTGATGAACCTCCAATCGGTAATCCTAAATACCAGCAATTGAGTTATTGAATATATTAAACGATGTTATGGAAATCCTACATTATGTAACTCCTATTATAAAGTATGCTCTACGGCATTATCGGCATTCTCTTTATTTGAGATGTATAAATGTTTACTTGCATTATTGTGCCCAAGTGTATTTGAAACGTTGAATTTGAATAAGCTCACTGGGGAGAATTTATCATTATTATCTCATATGATGTAATTATACGCTTAGTTCCTGTCAAAAAACGAAGGAAAGCCACTCCTCGAAAAATTGTTACGATTGAGCCAATGTTAAACGAAAAGCCGCAAACGAGATTACAAACAAGCAGCAATAGTGTATGTTATCTCTCTGCATTAATGTAGCTCTTAGTGGAAAAATTTAGTTCCAAGTTTCTTCTCGTAACTTCATAGAGTGCTATTATTCTGGTAAGAATTTAGTTTGTAAGTAGTTTACTTGTTAAATTTAAATTATATAGCCTGCTTCCGCAAAAGTGAATGAAAGTGACCAGTTTTCCAGCCCCTCCGAAAGTAAGGAAAAGAAATCGAGAACTGCTAAACAAAAAGCTGTTCGCAAAATCGATCTGCAACTGTAAGTTGTTTACACTTGCTTTGTGTACAGTATGTGGTATATGAATGAAGTTTCTTTCACCTAATTTACTATCAAGAAACTCATTCGTTAAATATAATATCCTTATTGTATATTAAATTGTTCATAGTTTAGTATCTCTGGAAGAGTTTCACATTTCTCCCTTCTCTTTTAAATCCAATTTTGTCGCTATATTTTTTTTAAAGAATTTATCAAATTGTTATTGTTAATACTGTTATTTTTACGTTGTATCAGCGAAACTACTGTATTCATTGGAAGGCGGAGATTGATATAATGTATTCTTACTTTTAGAGTACATATACCTTTATTCGTATAATAGATATAAATATATATATTTGGAATGTGTTCTCGAGAATCTTATGACGATCACATATAGACTTATATGAGCAAAGGACATTTCGTTGCATTGCATTATAATATCACGTACGATCATTGATATTGACTTCTAAGACTATTATTATTATTTTATTGAATATACAAGACAACGTTCGACGCAAGAAGAGGAGAATCAAGAAATAGAAAATCAGAGTCCTTCAAAGCATTCAAGTCGTACGATCCATAGCTTAAAAAAGCCATTAGTTTCTTCTTCTCCCTCAACTATTTATGATTCAACTCCAAAAAGAGTGAAACCCGCATCAGATAATCCGGATAAGGATTTAACTCCAAAAAAAGCAAAATCCGCGGTACGAGTATCAGTTAATCCAGATAATGATTCAAGTCCGAAAAGAACGAAGTCTGCGGTGCGAACATCAAATAATCCCAATAATAATTCTACTACGAAAAAAGCGAAACCTATCATATCAACATCAGATGATACAGCTGATTCAGATACTAGTTCTACAAATCAGGAATTGACGAGGAAATTTCGTCGTCGCCACGGTCGTCAGTTATCTTGGCATAGTGATAGCATCGCTGGTGAATCGAGTGATGAAAACATATTTACTCGAATAAATAGAAATAGGGCTGCTATTACATCACCTCAGCCTAAAACGTTTCAAAAGAAGCGTATGAAACGGCCATGGAGTCAAAAAGAGGAAGATAATTTATCAGAAGGAGTGCAGTTATACGGCGTTGGTAATTGGGCTATGATTTTATCTGAATTTAATTTCGTAGCAAGAACGAACGTAGACTTGAAAGATAAGTGGCGAAACATGAATAAAAAAAAGGACTAAATATTAAAGTATCGATTATAGCAATATAATGGTCTTTCTTTCGCATATCTTGTTATGCTGTATATCGGATCGAACGAAAGCTTTCTAATTCATAATAGGTTATACAATGTAAAATACCGTATGTTTTTATATAAAAAGGTAGCAATCGTATTTATCTGCATACTACTATAAATAAAAAATTTACTATCCGATTTTTGTGTTTATCCGCAAACTCTGAAAGCTGATTAGTGGAAACTGTCAGGTGTATATATAATATACAGTTTATACGGACGGAGAGTATATTATTGCAGGCGTTAGTTTCAGCGAAGGATTTTGGAATTGTGGACGCTCGCTGGGAAGCGAACGGGTTCAACTAGTCATATATTAAAGACTACTAGTCTATTGTAAGTGCAGAATCAGCGTGGTTATCGTTCCGAGAAGATAGCAGTAAAATATACTTTAGTAATGTCAATATAAAAATTTCTTGTATTATTGAATTCTTTTTAATCATTATGTAATGATATCTCCCAGGTTTAGTGTGAGTTTCTGTGGAACTAGTGAAAACCCACTAACAATGTTCGTGTATGGAGACTTGTTATCGTATGTTACGCGATATGTTCAGAGTTCTCATGCCGTCTTCAAAAGTTGTAGGAATTTCTAAGTTTTATCATGTCACTAATTAACATTAACCAAAACGTTTTAAAATCTTGTAGAGTATTAATAAAGTAAGAAAATCTTCAAATAATTTGCAGCGATGCAGAGTGAATGCTTTTCAAGAGATTTTAATCAAATTTTAGCGCATCTAGCTTCTAGCTAATTGATAATCATAATTGATAGATATACTGGACATACTCGTACATACATAATTACAGCCTCAATAGGACTAGCTTTGACATCGGCTTTACTATAATTCTGTATTCAGTTTAAAATACTAAAGTTTAGATTTCGTATCGCTATCGAAAGGTCGTACATGAGGATAGAGCGGCAGGCAGCTTTTGAACTCGCTTGGATTTTTAATGAGGATATGCTGAAATATTCAATACATGAAGTTTGTTAATGAGAATAATGTATCTTAACGATATTAAATAATAAAGATATTAGTTACACCTAAATTGTAAAAAATGCAAACTATATTTGATCAAATTCCATATGAATTCATGACTTCCAAATCCTAACATGTACGCAGCCACGGAATAATGACAAAAATATTTCATTTAAATACTTACATTTTCATTTGAGTTACTATCTGTTGCATCTTCTGATAATGTATTCGCAGCTGTGTTATCAATTATTATAATTGGAAATTAAGATATATTGCATACAGAAAAATGAACATATGCCGATTTACCTGCAACTTTCCTAGACACGACTCTAACGCTCAATTTCTTACGCTTAGGAGCGTCTTTTTCAATCAAATCCTTTTAAATGTTGAACAATAAATAAGATAAATGCAAACGATTCTATATCTATCTATAAGTGTTGAATTTACTGACAATGAACCATAGGATAACTGAATTTATCGATTTTACCATGTAAAATTGGAGCAGTTCAGTTTTATTGACGGTCTTCAAGTAATTAATCTCGATATTGTCTGAAAGTATTGAAACAAATCGCAATATTATCTTTAGTAGAGCAAATAAAAATGTGAACGATACACAGTATAAAGGCTTATGTTTAGCAAAGTGGAACCTCGATCAAAGTTATATTGTCTGCTAACTATCTCCGAAAAATATCGGTGGCATTCCTCATTCAATTTTTTAGGTTTTTCAGATTTTCTAATAATTAAAGCATTCAGGTGCTTTCGAAAATTCTCTTCTGTTAATAATTCCAAGTGTTCCTAATGTAATTACAGTATACGTAATGATAATGTGACAATTGGTAACGATTTTAGCCTCATACATAGCATGAAGATAGCGTCTACCTTCATTGATACCATGAACGCCTCGATCCTTGATTCAACAAATGCGGGATTATGATCAGATTGCACAAGAACCCTTAATCCCTGTAATACAGTACACATATTTTATTTACAAAAAGGAACGCGTCATTGGTAATTTAAATTATCATCGAAGCATTATAAAATATTTACTTGTGCGCCATGCGCTCTTCTCACTCCGCTAAATACGATATATCCTATTTAGCAAAACATAATTGTTCAAATGAAGGCGATACTATTATTAATAATAACGTAGAAAACATCTTAAGACATACCTAATTGTTCTTTTGTTCGCAGGATGTCAAAGCAAGGTTCGTTTATCACTTGACAAAATAATTCGATGAGAGAATTGGTGGTAGTGCTTTGTAATCCGTACTAAACATGGTCGTATGGAATAATGCTGTTAATATCCTTGTAAATTTTTACTTTATTTTTTTATCATTATCTGGTAAAGTGTGATCGTTTTACCTGGTAGTAGACTTCGATACATGATGATGGATGTACATCATTGACTACCTCGAATAAATAGCTGCAACCTGTGAAATAATATAATACAGAAATCATAAGCCCTTATTCTATGCGAATACTTCAAGAAAATTTTACAAGTATAGTAGAAAGGTAATAATGAAGTTTATGTACCATCTTGAAGCTGAATTTGTCTATGTTTCATACGTTGGGATGGTAGTAATGCTTTAGTTCCCGCACAATCACGAAAGACTGAACATACTAAAGTACTAATTTCAATCGCTTCCTGCCAAATTTACAAAGGGGATTTCTTTAAATTTGACGATATAATAATAATGACTATGAAGAAACGCGCTAAGTAAGTACTTTATTATTACCTCCTGTGTTAAATTTCCCATCAATAATGCTTCAATATAAAGTCTTGAAAGAAATAAAGGTATAAAGGCTTGTACTTGTTCACAAGATATATCTAAGGTAAATACAGTATTTGGTAAATAGCTTTATTATGAGAACAATTACTGTCAATCGTAAAAGTATCTTACCATCTAATGCATCTGACAGGTCGTCATTTGTCCAAAAGGTGTCTTCCAGTAAATAATTGACATAATAAGCGGCGTGCATATACGGTTTCTCCGCTTTAAAATTAAGCAGTTGTCGTTTGTACTAGTTGAGAAAGTGATCGCCAGTTGAGTAGCGAGTATCGCTTACGTGATCTTATGAAATTTTAAATTTACAGGCATAAAATTTTTTCACATATTTTGAAAAATATTTACCTCATTTTTGATAATAAGGAAACGTTTTGGATCAATCTTGAATTGGGCAACTTCATTCAATATTTTTGAAAGTAATACTTTTTGTTTATCGTTATATCCTCTTATAATTAACTGAGGAGGAGAGAAATATCTTAAATATCCGTGTGATCTTCGTCAATAATGATGCCTTGATAATTTCTAATATTTACCTGAATACCATAAAATGTTGCATGTAAAATATAGCTAATTCCAGCAATTTCAGCATCATATGCAAACTCGTTTAAGGAATCCATTACCAGAGTTACAAATAATCTTGTCATATTAAAATGAGCTGGATCTACGTAGGTAAAAGGGCTAACATATGTACGTAGATAATAAACAAATATTATACTCAGGTTTTTCGAACGAACTTAAGTTATTCATATGCCGTAATTGCACTGTATAAATACAAAGCTAATGTATAGTAACCTTGTAATGTCGAAGCAAAAGCAAGCTTTTGGAAGGAAGAAAGAATTGTCTTGTTTAAACCATGTCTTCGAAAGAGAATCCTCCTAAATGTACGAGTAATTGCTCGCATGTGAGTATATTACTTATTTAAGTCCAAAAAATGTAATAAAATACCAACATAACGAAGATTAAAAGCATGTTCAATTAGCTCACATACCTTGATGATAGTGGGGTATTGGGTTGGCTAAAACAAACAAGTGTAAATTAGATTGGATCAGCTATTTAATTAAAAGATCTAATAGCTTACTTTATCGCTAGATTTCTTAATATCAAAGTCGGTAGGAATAAATTCATTACGCCTTGGCAAATTTAAGCCGTCAGTTTCTCCAACTTCAGCCCAGCTCTAAATTTAATCATCGAAAATGTTATTTGTAAGTTTCGCTGATAGACTTGACTTGTACATGCTATTCATATACCGTAGCATATAATTTTTGCTTTATTTCATGAACTGTACATCATATATAAATCGTATGCTATAATAATATTCATTAGCATAAATATTATTTATAACAGTAAACTGGTAATTCTTTCACCTGGATTAAATCGAGTGGTATTTTTTCCTCTTTGTATCGGGTTCCGTACCACTCTTCTGTCTTATCTGCTATATCTTCGAATTTTGGGGAAATCACAAAAAGCCTATATATCAGATATTTAAGCATAAATATGATACTTTGGTTATGAATGTAAAAAATCACCATCTTAATGAAGAACATATTATAATATCGAAGTCTCTTTACCTAAACGACTCTGGACGTAAATGGTCTAACACTTCTTTTATTATGTCAGGAGAATATGATTGCATAAGAAACTGAGCACATAATACTTCTTCTAAAGGATATTTCTATAAACGTTAAATTATTATTTAGTTATTAATAGTAAAATTTGATATGCCTTAAGAAAATTTTAAGAAACATTTCATCAAATAATTTATCATTCATTGGCTGTCTTTACTTGCAAAGACGAGGCTAAATAAACTGCGTAGCCCTGAGGACGTTCCCTATCCTTAAAGCGAAAATTCATTTCTCCAAGATTCTGTATCGAATTAATGTAAAAATGATATTACTTAGAATTATTTTATTGTAAAGAAGGCACCAAAGTGCGTGTTAATGAAAGTTATTAGTTATTCGTAGAAAACTTTACTTGGCATTCTGTAAATATCCATTCTTGTGGACCAGAATTTCTTAATAACGTCAAATACTGGAATATGTAGGAGATTATTTCGTTCAAATGATCTAGTAATCAAGAAATAATCAATCAATAATTTCTTTTCAGTTAGAAGCAGTTTTGCTGTTGTACAAGATCTTACTAAATCCCTCCTCTGTAAGTTTGCAGCTTATCATAAAGAACATGAATCCTTTTGCTCCATGTTTGGCTCCAGCTTGTAACGTATTAATCCAGCCTATTTATTGCAATAATAATGCTTAAAACATTTTTGCTGCAAAATATGCTTATATAATTGTGCCAAGATAGATTCGTTAGAATTATAAGTTTTGCTTGCTAATTGATAATTATAGTTAGTAAGATTAATTAATTAACCTTTAGATTTGAGCAAAGATAATAAGCTGCCAGAACCTTCATGACCAACTAAATGAGCAATGTAGTGGCAAGGCTATAATAGGAGCAAGATAATTAATTATGGAAAGTAATTAAAACCTCATTTACCATTTTTAAATCTTATAATCCTTAACGCATTATACTCAATCATTCCCATAAGCACGATAATTTAGTCGTCCATTCTACAGTATTACCTTTGATGTATAATGTTCAGACATATCCGGTAAGGGGAACAGAAGCTCTATAATAGGTGTATCTTTAATCGGCACAACACAAAACTTCGTCTAAAAATTTTCGAGAATGAATCTTATTTAAATCTATTTAATTAGGACAGCATTCAGAGTAGTAGGAATTTTAGCCTTTGTACAATTTAATTTAGTTTAAACCTGTAATTCATCAGCACCGTACGGATGATCGTTAAATTCCGGTTTTAAGATATTTTTATCGACAATTGAACTAAAACATTCGATTGCTATTTTTGATAAATCATCTAAAGATTCTAAAAGTTAAATAAAAGATATCATAATAGATTTATCTTTCTATAATTATTTACTTGTACGTAATTTTGCGTAATATGAGAAATAAGGTTCAAATTTCAGTTTAACATCTAATTAAGATACCTTTACTAACAATAGCCAAAGTCATTAAATTAGCGGAATAGTATTGAGAGTGAAATTTCAACAGCTCTTCCCTGACGTCAATCTTCTTTTCAAGTGCTCGTGTGCCAAGGGTATATAAATTGCCTATGCAACGTTAAATAGGTAAAATAACTGAATAAATACTACGAATTGATGTTATTTTTCTCGATATAAGAACTAAAGGCAAAGGACGTCAGTTGATGACATCCGCAAGCAATACATATCGAAAGAAATTGCAATAAGATAATATATAGACGTACTACAGTATTTATTGCCGTTACTGATCAAATGGGTTGAGTTACTTGCATACGCTTAAGTATATAATACACCTGTTCTCATTACATATCGAAAGAAATTGCAATAAGATAATATATAGACGTACTACAGTATCTATTGCCGTTACAGATCAAATGGGTTGAGGTACTTGCATACGCTTAAGTATATAACGCACCTGTTCCAAATTTTGAGAAAGGATGAGATGGCTTGCATGTAGATTTATCTAGCTGAGATAAGCGCCATAAATCGCTCTTTTTATTATTGTCATTTTCTGCAATTATATATAATTAATTGATTAATAAGGAATTGTTTATAGTCAACTGAATCATTATAGTTACAGTATATAATGGTATGCGTCAACGAAAACCGTAGTATTTTCGTTCACTTTCGTAAAGCATCCAAGATAGGCGAATTAATACGTTGTACCTGAATTGATCGCTTTGACTTCTCGATCTTTTGAGTCAGCATTGAATAATGGAGCGATAAAGAATTGTGAAAATCTATATACATGAAAAATTTTTTATAACAAATTTTAGCCTAAATAAAACAAGTATAGACATATGCACTCTTTGATTGCGGTATAACCTATCCAATGCTTCCTGTAAATATTGTGTCGCAACTTCAAAGTAGTAGTTAGTATGCTCGGCTGAAGTGAAAGCATTGGATGAGCCACTGTGCTCGCTTAAAAACTATGAAGAGAAATTAAGTCATTATGAATAAATATGAACTGCACACGTCTACCTTTATGAAGGGAAAATGTTTAGTCGTATGAGAATAATACCTGTGAGAAACCGTTTTCCAATGGATACTAGGCATTGTATTGGAAATTATAAATGGTAGTATTAGTGATTATATTCGAAAATTATACGATCAATGTTTATTATTGCCAATGACGTTGACTATAATCCGATTGCAGTCAGATTGTGCAATACTGTACGCATAGCATGACTAAAAGTAGTTTGGTAATGGGGCAAGCAACGGTAAATCAATCTTGGTGGTATAGCAATGTACCAGATAAATAGTGACAGTACAGTATAGCAGTTTTCATAGGAGACGTAATGTCGTGTCGATATTTTTGTTCAATAAATACGTAGTTTGTAGCTTAATAGACCACCATGCAGACGAAGATTGTTCATTTAGATTAGCTAGTCTTATTGATAAAGATAACACATTACATGCAGTACAGTATAAAGAAAGCAAATGGTATGGAAGTGAATGTTGCCAATTCTTAGGGCAATTTTAGTATTATGTCGATTGGTATCCACCTGATATGTTTTACAGTATTTCTATATATGTATTTTGTAATGCTACGCTTAAGATGGATGGATGATAACTGCGTTATTATCTACAGTCCATATTGATAGTTAACTTACGCTGTATAATTATAGAATCAATTATCGTGACTAATTTACAATTTACAAGTCTGCCTAATTCTAGATATGGATATCATAAACTATGTATTGTACAACGTTACACTGTAAGTGTTGACGGCGCACATATAAAAGCCGTTGTAATTATCAATAAACGTATGAGTGGTAGTAAGTACTTAGCTTTGTCAGTATTCGAAAATTAGTCAGAGTGATCCGAACTTTACATACGGTTGGAGTATCAACTCTAGTTAGTTCATACACAATACCACCCATGGATTCTATTAAACATCACAACATTGTAAAATATTACCTTTTCTGTACCGAGGAAAAGCATATGCTCGCAAAAGTGGGCTAATCCAGGTAGTTCTGGAGGATCCATTAAATGACCTGCATATCAAAGAAGATTTCAGTATACTGTACACTGTACAGTACGGTATGGACTGGTATTTCCATACTCTACTTTAACATGATTAGCGACAAGAAAAATATACTTTCCAATTACATATCGTCTAATTAAGGATACGATGCTGTTCATCGTTTTGGTGCGAGCGTGTCTATGTGCATGTAATATAGACTCTACAATCTACATTTGTATTTCTACACCTAAATTGGAAATATATTTGGAGCATTGAAAGTAGATCACATTCATCAAACCATCATTACACCCATGATACCATTGGTTGACAACAAGTACGAGTACAGTACTGTATATTGGTCATGTAAGTAGCATTGACAATCATTGTCCAAGTTAATTAAAGTAATGATGTATAGTGTTCATTCTGAAGCGAAAGAATACAGTATTATATTTTTTTTTGTTTTTTTTTTAGGACGGATTGAAGAGCAGTTTTTAAAGAATAGCAGGGAAGATTTGGTAGTCGTCTACAGCTAATTTTATCCTCGATGTCTTTCAATGATGATAGAGATTGAAGACTACAGTCTCCATCAACCATTGAAGTTTACGTCAACTACTGTTCAGATCTATGTGCTCTCCACTCATTTTATTCAGCTATCAGGGTCGAAAGGATGGAATATACTGTATATATGTCAATTCAATCAGAAAACTGACCAGACTGTGATACTAGCATGACTGTATGAAAATAAAAATAAAAATTTTAAAAATTCAATATCCAACCTATGTGAACATCCAACGATGCAGCTGCCTTGTCAGCTTTATCATCTTGTACTAAGATGACCTTGATATGATTGCTTAATTGCAAGCTACGGTATAATCGTTTATCCTCCGCAGAACGAATGATATTATCACTGGCTCGAAGTACTCGAGGATCAATCACCTTTTCCATGGCTAATTTTTGGCCCTTTTTGCTCTGTAATGATGTGAAAATTTCAAAGGCAATCTCGCTAAATGCTTTGCTAAATTATGAATTCAATAGACAACTGTGTTGAGCTGATATAGTGATCGTGTTCCCCTGGAGTACGTGTGTATGTGTAGCTCGTTCCCATCCATCAATTCAACACACAACTGTGTTGAGCTGATGTATTGAACGTGTTCCACTGGAGTACGTGTGTACACTGTACTGTACAGTGTACAGTATGTGTAGTTCGTTGCCATCCATCAATTCAACACACAACTGTGTTGAGCTGATGTATTGAACGTGTTCCACTGGAGTACGTGTTTATGTGTAGTTCGTTGCCATCCATCAATACACAACTGTGTTGAGCTGATGTGCTGTGCAGTACAGTATTGAACGTGTTCCACTGGAGTACGTGTGTATGTGTAGCTCGTTCCCATCTATCAATTCAACACACAACTGTGTTGAGCTGATGTATTGAACATTTGAACGTGTGCATGTGTGGCTCGTTCCCATGAATTATACTGTACTGTATGTAGGTAATCCAATGAATTCAACAGATAACTGTTAGTACTGTGGACGTTAGCCAGTTTTAATGAACGAACGTACGAACGTCCAATTTGAACGTCGGACGTTCATTGAACGTACCAACGTACAGTACTGTACAGTAGTCTTACATGTACAGTACACCGTACTGTACAGTACAGTGTACACTATGTATATACTGTAGTGTTAACACTGTACACTGTGTACTGTATACTATGTATACTGTAGTCATGACTAGTACTGTGGACGTTAGCCAGTTTTAATGAACGAACGTACGAACGTCCAATTTGAACGTCGGACGTTCATTGAACGTACAGTACCAACGTACACAGTGTACTGTACAGTGTTAACACTACAGTATATACATAGTGTACACTGTACTGAAAGTGTTTGTAAAAGACGTTTGTACTACTGTACTGTATGTACTGTACTGTATAGTATTGGGGTGGGATTATACAAACTGACTGTATACACTGTACAGTACTGTACACTGTACACTGTACACTACAGTTCGTCGACGTCCGATCTGACAACGAACGTACATACCGAACGTCCAAAATCGAACGTCCGTTGGACGTCCAATCGCTCGACGTCTACAGCACTAATAACTGTATTGAGTTGAGGTATTGAACGTGTTCCACCGGAGTACGTTGGCATGTGTGGTTCGTTCCCATGAATTAATTATACTGTACATACAGTATGTAGGTAATCAATGAATTCAACAAACAACTGTATCGAGTTGAGGTATTGAACGTGTTCCACCGGAGTACGTTGGCATGTGTAGTTCGTTCTCATGAATTAATTATACTGTACACTATACAGTATACAGTATGTAGATGAATTCAACAGACAACTGTATTGAGTTGATGTATTGAACGTGTTCCACTAGAGTTCGTGTCAATGTGTGGTTCGTTCCCATTAATTAATTATAATTATATAGGGGATTAAATTATATATACGTAATCAATGAATTCAACAGACAACTGTATTGAGCTGATGTATTGATCGTGTTCCACTAGAGCACGTGTGTATGTGTCGCTCGTTGCCGTCCATCAATTCAGCACACAACTGTGTTGAGTTGATGGATTGAACGTCTTCCACTAGAGTACGTGTGTATGAGTGGTTCGTTCCCCATTCATTATACTGTAAGTAATTATTCTCAAGCGCTGAACTACTAACAAAGCCCCTGGCCAGGAAAGCTTTTGTTTGAGTTTGGAGACTAGTTTCAGTATGACTATAGTAGACGGCCAGGGAAATCCTCTACCAAGGTGAACTACACCGCAATTTGCAGCTTACAAGTGTCATAGTAGACCGGAATTCTATACGATACCCTATAATATGTAGTAATGTACTGGATACACGATAGCGACTATTCTCAGCGATCACTCAATCAACGATAGTCCAAATTTTCCACATGTCCTTTCAACGATTATTACGACGGATAATTTTGAAAATTTGCCATTAGATAGTACATATTTTCCACATGTCTGTAGCAATTCTCCATATGCAATACATGAAGAATTGTATAGCACTCGCATACCATTTCTCTTGCTTCGGTATAGCGTTTATATTCGGTTATTATTGTTAAAGTTTGCCATTCACAAAAAATGGGAAAAATGGAGTACCGTAAAAATAAAAATAATAAAAACAATGTACAACATTGGATCCATGTACAGTATGTAGATTTCTAAATAGTTGAAAAAATTTCTTCCTCTGCAGTAGATGAATTCGCCCTCTTACAGCGCTCATGCAGTATTAAATTGGCTAGTAGCGTATTAAAGGAGGAAATTAGCTTATATCAAAAATCAATTAAAGCATTGAATTTTGCAGTATCTCAATAAACTTGCAGAGACTTTATGTAATTGTTGCAAAAACTCTTCGTGACTACAGGTGATACATTAGCAATCAACGACTTTGTTCAGTATTGACTCTTCAATTTTGCTTGAATTGACTTTGTTGCTAGAATTATCGCTACGTATAAATTGAGCGCCTAGGTATTAAAGTGTAAAATAGCCTGGTCTTCATATTTATTTGCATATTCAACTCAAATGATAGCCAAACCACTCAAATTAGTGATAAGTTGAGCATGAAAGCATCAAAAATGTGACTTCGATAATTATAGGATAATGGATCTACTAGTCAAGCTGAAGCTGTAATGTAATATAGTAGTTTATAATTCTTATGCTTTTTCTACTCAGGAAGTGAATAGTTTTTAACGCATCAAAGTGTAGACTTTAATTTATTGTTAAACATTTTATGTACCATTAATTCTGTATGATATTCATGTCATGTTGCTTGCCAGTGCTATAAAACGCATTGTAGGTAGATGATAGCTTCAAACGTAAGATTCTTATTTTACGCCAACATCGACTTGAAGAAGGAAGGTATCACTCTTCATAATTCATATAGGCATATTTCGATTCTTGTATTCAGATGCTTTCATAAAGTTAATTAAATTACACAGCAGGTGCCAAGAGTTGAAAGGAATTACAGGTCTATATCCCCATTTTTATTATTATATAATTATAATTATATTAATCACCTCAGTGGGATTACCTAAACTACTGTAAATTTCCCTTAAATGCAACGGGAATTTCAGTTTGTGCAAATTTAAAATTTGACTGTAGATACATTAATAGTATCCATCGTGAATTTGCTACGTAAATTTACCCTATGTGCGTTTCATTCTCATCGTTGCTTGGCAGTAATTTCTATCGACGTTCGCAATTGGATTTTATACAAAATTGTTATTGTTCATTAAGTTTACCGACTTTAAAGATGCAGGGTATATTACAGTATGCGTACATCGCGGATGCAGATCTTGCATTCTATGCTTTCTCCACAGCAAGTAGCTTTTATCAATGGCTCGGTTAAATCTGTCTTAAACGTCGTGTACTAAAATTGAACAGAATTCTGTATTAAGGGATGGATGCTGTATTTTGTAATAAATAAAATAAGCAAAGCTTTCAGCATGCACAGCTTTGTAAATTATTGCTGAACAAATAATAACTTTCGAATGATCAACAATATACTGTACTTATAGAGTAAACCATGTCTAGAGAGTGTTATGCATGCAAGAATACAGTAGCCTGTTGTACTGCACCTAATGTGTTGCCATAAGAGAAAGTAATGAATTACTAAGATAAGGATATAATACGTTATTACGGTTATACTATTTAAATGCAATAAATCCTAAATCAATAGAGATTTTTAGTAAGTTTACTAAGCGGAGTGCATCAAAGTCCCTCGTGCCAACGTTAACGACTAAGAGTAGAAACATAACGGAGAGTAGATGCAGGCAAATATCTACAGCATAAGAATGCGTCATAATCGCTTAATATCGCTAGGTAGATATCTTTACTCAGCCACTGCTATAAAAATAAGACCTTGTTTTTTTTATAGTCTATGAAATTACTAAATACAACAGCACTTCCGCAAGCGGAGGAATTATGTAAAGAGACTGATTAAAATGAAGTATACTGTATATTGTAAACTAGTGTACAATATAGCGAATACATTGACATTTAAATTTGATATGCGTGCCAACGATTTATCATTGAAAGCGAATAATAACTGTAAGTCTCAATCGTGGTGAGCCAGGATTGAGACAACTACATCTAACGGCATACTAAGAGTTAGTACTAGCCTCATATATACAGTACTGTAAGCCTTATCCTGATTACAGTTCTACAAAATCATTCTTTGCGACTCTTTCTGACTAACTATCAGCATTATTGCCCTCCTAATCAAGCTCCTTCCTTTATCCTTAACCTATCTCAACAATCGTCTGTAATTGGTTATCATGGTCAGTAACAAGATAAGATAGTTAACGTGCAGTAGAGGCTGTTGCAATAATTACTTAATGCTAATTTTTGAACTTTAAAATTGTGCATTTTGCTCTTCAGTTACAGTATACGACTATAGATTAATTATTGGATGTAATTTATGCAGTGGCTACAGATATGCAGCAATCGTAAAATTGATGCCGGTATAATCATGAACTCAAGATGTTATCAAGCATCTTTCATCCGAGTATTCTCATTGACGCCTATCTACGTACCACTTAAGGAAGGCTACTGATACAAAGTTTGAGAGTGCATGTACGTTAGACCCTTCAGATTTTAACTCGATGTTGCAGCGTATAACTCTGAAGCATCAAGTTAAAATCTAAAGGGCCTAATGTACGTCTATATACTGATCGTACTTATGCTACACAATTAGTCAATATTGTCTACGTGCATGCCATGTAATTGCTTTGTGTCGTTAAACGACGATGGAGAATACAGTAGAAGTGTTTCACGGATTATGAGACATTGATAACTATTATTAGATAACGTAAAGTAAAAAGCATAAGTACCCGTAAATACAGACGATTCTCAGTATATGAAGTATAACGAGCATGAGTTTTACTAGTAAAGTGTAAAGAAAGGGCATTAAGTGTAAGATACTATCAAATTCTGATCAGCAACGTAGTTACCCTTTATCTACTCCCAAAACAGTTTACTCTGCACTGAGTTTACTTGAAACACAGTTATAGATTAAACTACGTCGCTAGACATCTTCACAGTCTAATAATGAAGTAATTAATACATAAGAGTATATATATATGTTATACTATACATATATACTGTATATTAATTAATTTATTAAATATATATATAGTAGTATGTACAATTGATTGTTTCGGCATCTGAATTCTAAATAATTCATTTTAAATTTTGGGGACTTATTTTTATGAACATAATTTTACGTTGGACAATTTCTTAGATACTATCAACAGTATCGTTGATTTAGGCCTGGTTTGGAGGTAGCCAGTATGCTATAATTTAGCATAATAATCAGTCATCACTGTAACAGTTGGCTATGTATAGAATTTTTTTAATTTTCGCATCAGATTTAGAGTTGGAAGATGGCGCTTCACAGAACTCTACAGTACTGTACTGTAAGTCTGTAGCTATCTTGGAACTGAACAATGATAGTCAATCGCAGATAATGCAGCGAGATGAGAAACGACTTTCAGTACCATAAAATATGGAGGCTTATTTATTTTTCTATTCATTTTATTATACTTATTTATACGGTACCGATGAAACCGTACAATATACCATACCGCACAAAACCAACTTAGCAGCAGGTTAGCAGCTAATTTGAATGTTAAATCTCTTTCTTTTTAGTAATAACGTCGGTTATCTACCACATCCTTAACCTATCTCGAGTAGTGCAATCCTTATAAGTCAGACTATCATATTAGAATCATCACCTTGTAAATGACGATACACAAGCTTAACACTAAAGGTTGTAATTGTATGGATCCCTCGATCCGTGTAGGCCTGGTAAAAACGTCAATCATACGTCGATAGTATTAGTGAATTCATGAGTTAATATATCGTAGCGTTGCTATTTTTACATTTGCTTTGGGCATCGGGCAGTTATCCCAAATACTTGCTTAATCAAGGATTAGTCCTATCTGTTTGCCAAAGAGTGATTCTTCAGTACTAGTTGCTACAGTATTATTGGCCAATTTTTTTTCACAACGTCCTAGCTAATTTTCGTCAGTTGATGGTTTTTGCAAGGTGCTCAATGATGCTGACGACAGATTAATTAGTGTCGATTATAACAGCTATAATGTAACGATACTCGATGTAAAATTTGAGCAGTTCACAGTGGAACATGTTGCATAATTATAATAAAAGGTAACACATCAATAAATACCGCAATTCATGTGCGGAATTATTATAAACTATAGAATTTAGATGTAGAAATTCGTTTGAACTGCGCTATCATCTGGGAGCTATTGTTCATCATGAATCAACTTCTATTTAGTTCTAACCGTACGTCTTTGTTATACTTTGGCGTAAAATATTCTCCATGATGCAGTATTATGCGAAGTGGAAACGAGATGAATTAGGAAAAGCCAAGAATAGTATTTTAATAATTGGATGTGACACACTCTACTGTAGTAATTAGGAAGCGAAAGAAATGTACTGCAGTTCTAAAGGTTGTTAAATAAAAGAAAAGGGGGAAAAATATTGCTGGTAGGCATCATTATGCAGTGATCGCCACGTTTAAGAAAGATCATACTCTTGGATTAATCAATATCAACTTAGCTTTGATTGATCATATCCATCCTTATGCAGTATAACATTCATTTACGAGTGTTCAAAATGAAGCTGTTAATGCGAAGCTAATTTTATTACATCGTCGTCTTATTAGATACACTATAGAACATATATTAGATTTAACTACTGTACAGTATACTGTTATTCATTTGTTAACCGTTATGTTACAAATTGTTGAAGCTGATCGTAAGCAATTTAATAATCGTAGTGACCGTATTTACAATTTTAGGCATCCTAAATGGTATTGATATACTGTACACGCGGAGATTGTCAATGTATTCTATACATAAATAGATAGGACATTATGCGGGAGATAATAAAGGTAGTAATGCCATATGATAGACGGTAGAGATATAGTTAACCATGATGACAAATTTTATAGCATGCAGAGTAAATTGTATCTATATAGAATCAAATTCGAATCCAAACTGGAGAACATTTAATGCAATAATTTTTACCCAAGTTGTTATCCCAATGTTGAATGCCTTGACATTGAAAACAGATAGCAAATTCTACCATTTCTACACCCTCTACCGGCACAATAATACGAAAAATAAACGTGTCGCTGTATCCTGTACAGGAATTGGGATAATATTGGGCTTTAAGGTCCTTCCAAGTTTTCCAGCTATTAAAGGTATAACGTACAAAGACGGCTTTCTCAAAAGCAATATTACGAACTTTAATAGTACCTTCGCAGTAGTTTTTGTTTATTACGCTATTTTCTAATTTGACCAGGTTATCTCGTAAGATATCATGGAAACCTGTTTGTGCTACTGGTTGTTCAAAGCACATTTCTAATAAAACAGTTCGCAGGCTATTTGCTGTGAGATTAGAGTTAAATTTGCCAGTAGTAGGATAATCATCTTGAAAGAGTAGATCCGTTTTGCCATTGAAAGATGCTTTATCTTGCTTTTCATTATCCTTGTATATTTGTTCCTTGGAATTGGCTTTAAAAATAGTGGCTAATACTTTACCCGAAGTATCGGCAAAGTGAACGCTTTTCCTCTTTTTGACAACGTGCTTCCTCAATATGCTAGCACCTCTTTGATTTTGATTGCCATTTTTGGTAACAACTGGATACTTTGCCGATTGTGCTTGATCAGAAGCGTTAGATGCACGATCATTGCTGCTATTGATATCAATTCGATTAAGTGCATCATCTAATGCCATTATGGTGTCGTGATCCAAAAAGTCTTCACCGTCCTCCTGATCTTCTCCATAAATTGGTGGGGCAGAGTTTCTTCTCTTATTCTTGGATACGGCATTATTATTATCATCGTTGGAATCCATTTTTCATTGATTAGCCGTTGGTTATAAACTGCTGCCATGCACTGTACGCTGTATACAGTACAGTGGTGCTACAATGGATTTTTACTTGGTTACTGCAATGGTTAAAATGTGATGATGGACTGTCCAAACTGAAGATGGTATTGTCGATTGCTTGCTACAGTGCCCTTATGTTGGTTTACTGGTGCAATCGCTTGGAGTTCATATCTACTAATACGATATTAATAATGTTGATTGTAAGTTTGCAAGGCGTAGAGTAAATTATCTTTCAACAAGAGTATAGTCTTTCAGTATTCTACCATGGATGTATTATATTGAATAGTACTGTATAGTCGGAAAAAGAATGTGTCGGTTAGTAGCACTATTGAACTAATGGTTGACCAAAGATTGTCCTGAATAAAAGGTGAATCGATTCTAATTATTAGTATAATGATTATGGCGTTGTTGCTGGTTGTATTTGCCGCATCGTCCGTAGGATTTGCTACTTTTCTACAAGTACCTTGGATGGAAAGTACTCTAGTATTAGGACGTAATACCTACTGTATGCTTTGCTAAAATGATTGCAGTACCTTGAGTTACCGTTCTAAGGTGTACTAATTGTCCAGCGAATTGAAATGAAAAGGGTGTTGTACTCTTTGGAAATAAAACTATCGATGTAGGAGTAAGTAGTGTTATTGCTGTAGTCGATTGATTAATTAATTCTTGCTGTAAAGCTTTCTTCCTATTGTGCGGTGTGCACAACAGTACTTGCAGAGTGTTGCCAGCGTATGCTAGATTGTTCTTTTGGAAATTTCTACTTTGTACCCTATCAATGTATCATCATCCTGTTGCAACTTGAATTTCAAGAGTTATAAGCAATGGTAATGACAGCAGTTGGCTCTCAACTCCTGCCACAATCTCACTAGGTAAAGGAATAGATGGACTAGTGGTATATAGGATAAGATAGCGTTATCCAACTTGCAATCTTGATCATCAAATCGATGCTCAGCTAAGTTGATCATCATACAGTAATGTACAGTATCAAAAAGTAAACAATCAACAGCTCTGTGATGTAATTAGCAGTTTGGTAGAGTGCGCAGGTTACGTGGCCAGGCTATAGTCAAGCACTAGACTGCAAGGTGTCAAGTCGTACCGGTACAACGATAGTGGTACTCAACTGGGTCCCAACCGGTCTCCATCCTTGTTGGACATGACATTATGCGCAGGTATGAAGCTACAACTGGATCGTGTGCAATATTACTGGCTACAATTGCATAGTGTAGCTATCCAGTTACTCAATACACCTGCAATGACTACAGCTCCTGTATCGATAGACGATCAGGGTGTTTTGCAATAACAAGCCGATTCTACACTACGTGACTAACTTCACGTTTCTAGTATAAAGACGTAAACAACCAGGAAGTACTTGGACACTATGAGTGGTGGTAAACAGTGACGTCAAAATAGAATCTGCTCGATTGTAGGCCGCACTTGCATAGAGTACAGCATATTATGATAGGGAATAATCTTATGCTGGATCATCCGTCCCAGTTGATTTAGTTTCTCACTACTGTACGATACCCTATATAATGGTATGGATGGCTTACATGTGTCTATTTTTCGCTGTGATTTCACTGTACAGTACGATACTATACACTGTACACTGTACTCTACTGTACTGTAGTGCAGCTTAACGCGACGTGTTGACCAGTGTTGATACCAACTGACGTCACAACCAACAAGGTTAATAATTCAATATAATGTTAATAATTATATTAATTAATCCAGGCTATAGAAATCACTTGGCGGACGTGATGGAGTGTTTTTGGCCCTAAGGGCAACATGTCCTTTCTTCTGGCTGTCCGTTGTGATCCCATCGATCATGCATTGTCGGCATGCTTAGCCATTGCGTCACAGGTTGAATAAAAGAAAAAGTTTAAAAGTCAAATAATTTTCAGTAGTGCTTATTCGTCAACCGAAGCCAATGGAAATCATGCCATAGTCATGATCATCGCCATGATGTCCAGAATCGTATGAGACTCTTCCATGGATGATTTATCATTTTTCTGATAGACTTTACGATATACCATTGATCGATTATTGATACCTGAAAGAAAGTCATCACTCAGCAGACTTACTGACTTGGCTGTCGATTGACTACCGGCATAAATGAGGAAAACAAGATTGGCGAGAAGAAGAAGAAACACGCAAGACAACCTCTAGGTAGACTGCAATAGACTAGAAATTATCGACAAGTGACTACTCTACCTACTCAGCAGGCGGAACCAACAAGAAGCGATCGGGAATTACCCTCGTTGGCCGAACCCCTAACGCAACTTGACTTTATTTTTTATTGGATGGTCAGCAAATACCACCGCCAAGATTCCATTAATTGCTTAAGTAAATTATTATTCAAGGTAAGTTGCAACGGAATGATACGAATTTGTAGACTTTTGCCAATTGTATTTTGACACAATAGCGATTGAATTGTAAGCTATCGTTGGACACTTCCGTTCACCCAAGGCTAACGATTCTGTGCAAAGAATTAAAACGCATGTACAATCAATCCATTTCAAAGTTTTCTTTCATTTTTGCATTTCTTAGGAGCATGATCTACAGTGATTCCAATTCTCATAGCAGGCTGCCTATGGAGCGTACTAATCCTACCGATGTTCAGATGCCAATGCAATTTAATCTCGTAAGCAACTTGACCAAAAGAAACACTGCCGATGCTATATTACCTTTCGGTCAATTGAACGATTTGGTTGACTGCTTCACTCAAGCTTCATTAACAAGCAGCAACGATGACCAATTGCCCATGCGAACGAGCGCTAGTCTTGAGCACAATTTATTAAGTACAACCGTGGATAACAACTTCCAGGCAGAAAAGACGTTACGCCAATGTCATAGCGATAACGATATTCGTCCTCGGAAACCAAAGGTCAAGAAACCCTTTCACAAAAAATCGGTTCGTTTTGCCGACAGCTTAGGCATGCAATTAGTCACCATCTACGAACTATCATCGCAATCAGTAGTAGCAGAAAGCAACAATAATTCAAAAGCATCGCCTACTGACGCGACTAAGAACCTTGCGTCCAACCAACATCAGCATCGTCAAACGAATTGCTGCACAGAAATACGCAAAGTGAATTTATTCGACTTTAAATGTACTATCGTCGATCAAGCTATGAATAGAAATTATTGTAAATTAAACAAGACGTTAAAATTATGTTTCGATCAGCCAGCACTGGATAACAATTTCACTTCCAACCTGAAGAAAAATTTTATCCAATTAGAAAAAGTCACACTGAAAGAACAACTGCGTGTGATTGGTGATGTGAAAGTTAGAAATATTGCCTATGAAAAAGCTGTCACGGTCCGATATACTTTGGATTCTTGGAAAACATGCAATGACATGGCTGCTCAATATAAGTGTAGTTCGGAGAATGGTATTGTAGATACTTTCTCCTTCACTTTAACTTTGCCAACTAATTTATTTGTGGAAAAATTAGAATTTGCAATCAAGTATGATTGTAATAGTACGTCTTATTGGGACAATAATAATAACCATAATTACGTTATCAAGGTCATTTCAGTAAAAGATGAAAGCGATTCTCGATTAAATTCTAGTGGAATGGCACTTTTGAATCATAGAATGAGCCATCATTTCTTATGATGATGAATTATTCTCACTTTTGAAGTAAATCAATATCGTTTGAAAGTACTGCAGCTTTTCTACACTACTTCTTAATCACAATTGCGTACGGAATGTGTGTAAAAAACTTACCGTTGTCAAGATAACTCGATATCTATGAGTATGATATCCGAAAGAGGGCTCAATTGCGAAGAGTATTATTCTATAGTTAACCTTGCATTTCTTGTTGCCTACTACTATTCTTTCTTTTCCAATTTATTACCATGTATCTAAACAACATATAATAAATAACTGGATATTTATTAATTCATAGTAAACTGTACAGTCTATCATTTGTCAATTGCATCTGTATTTGTGTTCGCTTACGGTACGATGAAGTAAAATGATCAACGTCAAGCTAAAAAATTGAAATGCAAAGGACTAAAGTTGATTCATTGAACTGTCCGTACACGCAGGCAACTGTAACCACAGTCAAAAGAGATTGAACTATTATCATCATTATCGTAACCATAAATCATTTAGAGTACTTAAGACGTTTATACAGCGCTTGGCGCTTAACTTGATGTTTTCAAGACTCTCTAAAACTAATTTCAGCCACGACTTTACTGTCTTGTTTTACTTTTTTGATGTAAATGGCTCAAGCCAAAGTGAATAAAAAAACGTTTTCTTCTATGGGCTACAGCTTGTGAACCACTTTAACTTTTTCTTTATTTGAAAACCATGGATACACGTATTCAAAATTTTTTCTCACCTCCATAGTCGAATTAGTGTAACGTCTTATGCTATACAATGTACCAAGAAGCTCTCAGGTAAAAAGTTTCTCCCCAAATTTGCCGGTCCTCAAGGGTTTGGATAAAGAATATGCAGGAAAATAATTGGCTTGTACGTGATTGACTTACAAGACACAATAATAACAATAATAACTATAGATGACGTATTGATTCGGTAACAATCCCAACTTGTTCCTATTGTACATTAATTCAATACATGGCGGTTATTCAAACAAATTTAGCGCAACTGGCATCATCGTTCCTATTGTCTACCAATGTTCCTGTCTTTGTTTTCATTTGTTTCTATTCAATGACTACAATAAATAACGTATGATGATGAGTTAACGGTCATCGGTATGAAATTAGGATAAAAAATTTTTTTTGTCAGCATGAGTGCTGAACCTCATTAGGGAACCATATTGATTACCTTGTGGATAGATCATGTTGTCGATCAATGTTCAAATCATTGCAAGATTGGAACACCTTGACGTCCAATCTGATACTAGACTTTAATTAGACCTTTTACCTTTAATTTTATTTTTTTTTTTTGGCTGTGGGCAGTGAATGAGGTTGAGACAGATCGTAGGCTTACGGTATCATTTTAGTCATCATGTCTACGATAGTAGACTATGCTGCTAGCTGTAATTAAATTACAGTACAACAATTAATCCTCTGTCATTTACTGTACAGCGTGAACAGTGGACATTTGTTAACGCTGTTTTAACAATTGTAGCATTCATCGATTTATTTGTTTATTTATTAAATTGTCATTAAATTTGGGGGATAAGAATCGACTAGCGGATCAGTATGGTATCAATCAGTGATAGCTACCATAAACAAAGTCAAATTATATGCATGCTGTGAGCTGAAGTAGACGGTGGCGTAAATGTATCACGGACGACTAAAAGAAAGAAACTGTATTCTGCCAATTTATGCGACTATTATTATGACTGGACAATCGATTGATTAAAGAATGTGAAAGTATGCATTTTACAACTATTGAAATGAAAGCTTATTATTCCGGGGTGGCGTGTCGATATGTTGTACAGTACAAGCTGTTCTTGATGAGTGCATTGAAAAAAAAAAAATCGTCGTAGCCCGTCAATGCTTTTATACTTTATGATCAACGAACGCTGTGACAATATCTTTAAATTACTCAGCTAAAGGCTTGTATCATTAATTCATGATGCTAGTGCTTTTAAATAAATAATTATAAAAGGAAAATTACGAATGTTATGACATAGGCTGATTTAAATTAATTTGCGATACTTAACTAGAGGATTATCAACTAATCGTAACAATGTATGGCTCTCAATCATGGGGCTACAATACTTGTATACCGTGTACGGGACGATTTTATCGATTTTGAACTGAAATAGATAAACTGTTCAAACTATCTTGAGTGCATGTAATGCACTTATATGAGAGGCGATCTTATCTAATATCTTCTGCAGTTATTAATATCGACGTGTTTACTATCTATACAGTACTCTACGGTCTGCATGTACAGTATTAATTATATACATATAAATCATATATGGTATTAGATTACTCATATACATACGTGAATACCGTTTTAGTCACGCATCATTAATGGACAAATTATTTGCTTTAACCAAATTGAATCATTCTTAAGAAGGGTTAAATATTCTGACACCCAATATTTATGCCCCATGATTACTAAATGTTGCCTCTAGTTACATATTAGCTATCATCGTCCTATCGTATTAGCTACCAATTAACACGGCACATATAGTTGTTTAAGTCCGAATGATATAAGGATGAAGATATAGAGGCCAATTAAATTGACAATGGATTGAATTGGCAAGTAATGCCTGTAGGTAAGATATCTGCATTTGAGAATATGAAATAATGTTGGCATTGTGAATTTTTCTTCGCACTGCATAATACTTCACTTGTTATATTCTTCTTATATAGAGTGACAAGTAACAATCCACCAGGAGCAATTGCTTCTGTAATTATAATTAGTATCGCTATTGTATAGTTCTCATTTTGTGTGATAATCTAGGAGAGTAGCGATGGCTATAGCTGTGCTTGAACAGCATAATTTACTGTGGTGCTGCAGCTTGAAAAGAACAGACGAATATGTAAAGCGAACATTTTCCTCCAAAACATACTCGTATCTAGCTGTATAGAATTTCTCTATTGTCCGCTCAGTAACTATTTGACTGAATCCAATTAAGCTTATAGCACCAATTACCCATTTTGATACAATACTACTATCGAGTCTGCACTCAGCATACGGTACGTATAAAGTAAAGTAACAGGCATTATGCACAATATTCTACGTGTACAATATAATACACTATAACGCTCTGAACATTTTATCGTCCAAATTAGTTAACAGACGATCGGATAGTTACTACTGTAATTAAGAAGATTGATCCTGTAAGCCAGATAGTTGGTATAACATGCAATAGATGATGTAGTCTTTCTTCTCGTAGCCAGTGGCTATGATGACAATGCTGATATTATATATGCTATACTAATAGGCAAGAACGATCGTCCAAATTTGAACAACCAACTCTATGCTCACTGATACAACAATGTGTAATGCTGGTATGGTAAAGTGCAGCATTATGATCATTCCCATGCTGCATTTCATTATGATTAACTGATTGCACTAAAATTAATTATTGCATGCTTCAAAACACAGAAAATGCAAGTGTCTAAGTTCAAGTTCAATTATTGAAATATACTATATTTATCGTTGCTACCATCTCAACCACAACTTTTATAAGATTAATCCAACTAACAAATAGTTATATAAGGAAATACTGCACTGCATAGACCAACTATAAAACATAAATTAATGATTTCTCTAAAAACAACGCATAAATTATTAGGACACTTAGAGAATCCTACGTTATCCGATAATACTATCGTAATTAGATTTCATATAAGATCGCTACACTGTACCAAGGGGTTCCAACTGGAATTAATAATGAAAAGTTAATGTATTTGATAAAACAGATCTGTGACGACGACATAAAAACTGTCTTATAAATAAGATATCCAACATGATAATAATGGCATACGTATGTCCAATTTCTGATACACAATATAGAAGAATTAAGACAGTATATAAATTCAAAATAGCAAATAATGCCAAATGGACGAATAATATTCATCGGCTAAAAAAGAAAGGGATTAGCAATAAATTAAGTGAAATAAATTTAAATAATAACTTTTCTGAAGTGAAAATACAGAAAATTCTAGATATAGAGATACTAAATAAGCACAGACCAAATAGAGAGATGACTGCACATAAAAATTTGAATGTATACTGCATATCTTTTGGATCACTAATAAATAATACAGTATGACGAGTAAATACATAGAGCAAGAAGTGTCTATAAAATTAAAAGGTTCGAAAAGAACGAGTGTAAAACAGAAATTTGATGACAAATAAACAAGCTTCACAGCTTATATAACTATCCTTATAAGGTTTTGTTTTTAAACGTAAAAAGTGTAACCGTTGATAGCTGTGTGTACGAAAATATTAATCAACCAGCTTTTGCTTCTAATGTATTTACTTGTAAAACATCATACTATGCCAAATATGAAAGAATCAGAATATCAATATATAAACATATATATATGATAATAATAATGATAATAATAATAATAATAATAATAATAATAATAATAATAATAATAATAATAATAATAATAATAATATTAATAAGAATAATAATAATAATAATTTAAAATGTGCAACTCGCATTAAACTCTACATATCATAAAAGCACATCAAAAACTAGTTAAGTTACAAAGATACTTGCATTAAATTTAATTCTCACCAAACATAGAATAGAAAAAGAGACAAAAATGGTAGAAAAAACTAATTAACGAAGATTATGATCAAATTTTCACTACAGGAAACTTGGTAAGAAGAATTTTGGTAACAGAAAAAATGGAAAAGATAAGAAAGAAAAGTTTAACTTGGCTAATAATTTCTCTTTTTTAACTCCATCGAAATGGGACAGTTCGAGGACGATCACCACCCTCCTTAACTAAAGGCTTATGAAATTCTTTTCCCTGGCGTGAATGATTCATAGCCCAACAATGTTCGCAATAATATTGCAAGCAGGTAACATTAGAGCAAAAGAAAGGAGCAAATTTTCCGCCACATCGTGCTCCTTGGCAATGATCGCACATTTGGTCATCTAAAACATACGGCTTAACTTCGACCTACATAGGAGATTATTTATAAATTATTTGATGAACATCAATATTTCAATCAACACCTAGATAGTAATGCTAAATAGTTCGGCTACAATAATGGTATGTAGAGTGCGCCATCACCTTGCGGTTTATTACATAGAGTTAAAAGTAAATTGTTGATATATACCAATATACTATATATGGTGTTATTGTGCATAATTTAGCATCGTACCCTTTTATCAATATCTCCATGTTGTAGCTGAACAAAGCGGGCGCTAATGGCAGCAATGTAACTCTGTTGATTTGAAAAAGCAACACGTCCAGCACCTTTAGGATACTTCAACTCCGGATCGGTATCAATTCCAGCATAGCAAACACCACCATAGAAATCGTTCATAATCTTAGCTAGCTCGCCTAAGAAAGGATTGAATTAATTATAGCTTATTATACTATTTGTATTTGTTGATTTTAGTCAAATGACCATGAAATCCATATTTTTCTGTAATTTTCCCAATTATTTACTTACATGCACGAAGTGGACGAGGCACACCGCCAACAAAAATTGTCTTCCTTGGATCGAGCGGTTTCGAATTATCCATAACAAAATCGCTATCGGATAGATTCCAAGGTCGAATTTGAACCTAGTATTTTGATGAATAAAGTTTGACAGAATAGAGTAACAACTGTTAGTAAAGATGATGATTACAGGTTTACTACGTCGTTTATCCTTCCCTTTTAACGTGTACTTACAGGTTTATGCTTGATGGTTGGACTTGAGACATACATAAACAATTTATCATCATCACGAACACACGACTCTATCAATTTCTGAACAGAGACTTCTTCCTCAAATAATAAGAAAGCGTATCCTAATGGCGATAAAATAGAATTTTTAAAATAATTTGTTACAATGATGATAGGTAGAAATTATTGCTGTACTATATATTAGACACTATAGAGTGTATAGTGGATGATTAATAGGATAAAATGTGACTTTTTACCTTTTGGAGGAAAGTAAGATTTACTTTCAGCTTTATGTGGCCAATCAACTGTAAGAGGGCCAAACCGACAAAAGGAATTGTGGATTTCATCTAGATTTAAAATTAAAGTTAAGCAATCATGTTATGTCAATGAATGGTGATTAACAGCAGTTTTAAGATTGAATTGGGATCGCTATCGCTATCTTTTACTACCTTCATCGATATCTGGAGGTAAGCCACCAACGAATACTTTGCGAGAAAAACGCTCGGTATGATCTCCTCCTCCTCCTCTTACATTATTATCCATTAAGTGTAAAGGTCTAATAGGAGAGATTCTTTGATCATTTATAGCAGTTGGATCTTCCAGTCCTCTATCAATGCCTTGATTTGTAGGAAAGAATGTCTTATCTAAATGGAAGATGAGTATTTCTATTATTTGTGATGGAATTAAACTTTAATGTAGTATCCATCGTAAAATTGTGGACCCATAATTCAAAATCGACAACTACTAGAACTGCAATTAATAAGTATCGATAGCCACAGCAAGATACTAGCAACATCTTTCAATATTTGGTCCTGTACCGTAGTTCTATTCTATAATTTATTGAAATTTGGCTATCCAGTAATAGCCTTAAAGTAGATAATATGACTCAAAGAGGTAATAGATGAATCCAATCGGAAATAATCACGCGACATGCTATTGTATTACTCGCCATAATACTTGTTATTTTTGAGCTGGTATAATTATTTTTACACACAATAGATAGGCATTACGCCATATATATCAGTATATTCAAATGTTTTAGTTTAAAAATATGGCAAGATACTGGCTACTCTCTAGATTTAATCCAACCAATTAAAGTTTATAGTGAGTAAAAGATGTAACTTTACCTTAACGCTATCATCTGATCATTATAAGCTACCCTACATGTACGTATTAAACTAGTGTTAATCTTAGTTTTTTATCTGTTTTATAACTAGTCGACATAGGAAGTGAACCGTAGTTGTTAACAGCATGGACAAACGGTAAGTATGAGTACTTGTTAAAACATTTTTTTTCCGCTATCAATGTACATTGAAGTTTAATTTCTACAGTCTATTGGTGAATATTATCGCTTAAACTACTCCACTATCGTTATAAAATAATAATAATAGAATCTAGAGAAATAGACAAAAGATTCTATTCGATCGATCATCCAAATTCTATTCCAAAATTAAAACAATAAATATATATTGGAATAATCCGACGCCAACGCCAACTCGATTATAAATGGAAGAAAGAAATTTTTACCTCTTGTATGTTCGTCAGGTGTTGGAGATTCAATAATACCCATTAGGTTATTCTCTAGAGTCGGAAATTTCATGTCTGCCGATTTTGTCTACAAGATAAAAAAAAAAGAAGCAATACCCTTGGATATTAATTAAATGAATCTAATAGTAGCACCTCAATAATAAACAAAAGCTATCTTGATTATACAATATCTTCTATAGAGTAAAGGCATGAATTTAAAGGGGAAAAAAAAAACTATCATGTCTAGATATAATATATTCAACTTCTCTATAGTATTTATTCGACTTTGAAAACATTCACTTGGTTATTAATTTGATGACGATAGAGAAATAACTATAAATAAGATGGTTGAAAATTCACTACAAGGAGTCAGTAGAGAGTGAATAAGATTAATAAAATATCATTTCATTCTTCATTTCTATTCTATAGTCAATGAATTGTTATTGCCATTGACATTCTTGACTAAAGCTCGAGGCAATAGGCAATAAAAGATAATTGATCAATTATTAATCAATGCTTTTCAGTTCATTTTTTACCCTTATGTACACTATTTTCAAGTGTATGCAATTGGAAAATGTATAATATCCAAAGAAGAAAAGGTTATAACGACGACAATTTGATATTGAGTAGAACGACTGAATTAATACAGATTAAGGGTAATATGGAATAAGAAAACATTTCGATTGCAGAATTGATATCCATTTAACTGTGTACAATCTAACATTGAAAGTCTAATATTTGTTTATTAGCATTAAAAATAACCTATTACCGATCAGAAAGAATTGTTATTGAGTGATTCTCCAGCACAACAATACAACAATTTATATAGGATGCTATCTTAATTTTTTCTAATTGAAGTATCTGTCCTAATGCAACTCTCTATTTGGCCATTGTTCCAATCAATTTTTTATTCTTTTCATACGAGTAAAAGGGAGATCCAACCGAGGGATAGAGAGCGCAAGAGTTATAATATTGATCATCTATCTTTTACTGTCATGTAAAGTAGCGTAGTCCTATTTTGGCATCATTGCTACAACAATTCAATTTTATCAACATAAGGTCCAATAGAGTGAGAAAACAATATTCTTGTCTCTTTCACTCATTCTCGAATTGCTGTACAGTAATAGACAGTCTAATTGAACTTTTACTTTGGTTGTATCATGTCGATTGTGAAATTCAATCGGTTCGATAAACTGGCCAAGTAGGAAAATAAATTAATCATCGTTTTATTTCCATATAGAACGGAAATGAGATTTACTGTTAGTTCATAGTTGTAGTCGTCAAATTTTCATTCCAATGCTAAATTAAGCTTGATATCTGTACATTGCTCTCTAACTGTCAATAAAAAGTGATCTATTTGCGCCTTCTTATAGAAGAGAATTGAAATTGACCATTGAACCTCTCCAAGTCTTACAATATCATCAATTTCCCTGTAGCATTAACTTTGATCCTTTATCATCCAATTTTCTTGGCGTATTCTAATCCTCAAAGTCTTGTGAATACTGTCGAAGAAATACTGAAATTTTACCAGTTCACCAACCTTCGTTCTAAATTAATACTAATATCGATAGGAATTAACTTCAATCTACTGTACAATAAATTTTACGAGCTCTCATCATTCCATTCTTGTAATGAGAAGAAAAGAAATTGACCATTGTGCCTATCTTAGTCCTAGAATAGCCATTGCGATATGACATCAAGTCTGATATATTTGCCAAAAAATATCAAGCTTCTACAAGTGAAATTTTACCATTGCATGTAATCTTAGTCCTGGAATAACCAACAGCTAATCAAGTCTGATATCTTTGTAAGAAACGTTCAAGTTGTATAGTGTAATCATCCATTTCTCATATACTGTACTTTATAAGTGAAATTGCACCATTACACCTATATTAGTTGTACAAATATCCATTGGGTTATTCCAATGTAAGAGTAAGTTTGATAGTCATGTTTATTCAAGTGATCTTTCTTGCCCTACTATTTTTACATCCCTAACCGTTATTATAATATGTGGAAGAGAAATAAGATATTTACAGGTTAGTCGTAGATCAGCAGTTGATGATGCTGTTGAATGGGATGTTGGTTATGATACCTGACAATTATCCATTTTCAAGGACATATCATGAGTAAATTAATGTTTTCAAAAAAGAGAGAGATAAATAGGGAATGAGAAAGGAAAGATAGTATAACTAGAATTCTTATTAGCTTGATTACTCAAATCAAGGTATTATCGGGTCAAAAGTGGACAATGTGATTTTGATGAAATCACGTCTTGATTCTACATCGTTCATTTTGGTTCTATGGTATACAAAGTCAAAATAGAGTATTTTCAATATAAAGATGATAATGATGGTGGCAAAAAGGGTTTCAGCATGCATACGGCTCTAGTCCACTAGAATTAAAGTTATACCAATGATATCAATTTGTTAAAACATGATTATAGATATGACATGAACATGGCAGTATTAATACCCACTACTGCCGAATCTGCATGATTTCAACGTTAGATTTTAGTGAAGAAGAGGAGTGATGTTAGGCTTGAAAGAGGAAAAAGTAATATTAGCTTGATTCCAATCTGAATAGTTCTTTTACAGTTTCGATACGATTTAGTTCCATTCAAAAAATATCTCTGCAATATAAGAAAGATCGGGGAGGCTAGAATTGGCACTCATCTATGTCAAGATAGTTGCAACTAGGCTCGATTACGTTAAGAAGAATGGATGAAAAGTTATCCATATTGACCGTGACAAGATCGAGCATCTTAAGCTAGCCTTGAATGGATGAGAAGATTTGTTTCCATCAACGCGATCACAACTAGCTTGGCGAAGAAAACTACATCAAGTCTTAAGGTAGTAAATTGGACATGGAAGTCTATCAATCATGGACTTGTAGCGTTAAAAAAAATGATGATATTGTACAAGATCACGCCATCATTAAACCATCTTCTAAGGAAATACAGTTATTGCATTATTGCTTTAGCAAGCATCACCTGCACTACTCTATAACATACTGTATAAGGAATGTAAGGCTATCCTGAAAAATAGATTCATCCAAGTGGATTTGTCTTTTTTATTATTTTATCCATCTTCGTTATAAAGGATTTGGTCGAATAACTTGATAAATGTCTGTACTCTTCAAATTGGCTTCTTGTCGTCATTGTATGGTTTGCATTTTCATGGATTGCAGTAAGGTAGGTATCCATGGAAGAAAATGAGATTGTCATCAACAGCGATGGCTCTCTATCATCCACCTAATTGATATTCATGGACACAAATTGAATGTCTATACGGTATATCTCCTTGGATGATTCTTTACAAGCATTTACTGTATAATTATCAACACCGATGGCCAGCCCTATCGATCATCCCATTGGCATCACGGCAATATTTCGATGTCCTTTGCCGGCTTCCATCAAGTTATCCATCCTTTATGGTATATCGACAGACATGTTCCTTATGCAAAAAAATTCTATCATCTAACCACTGGTTCATCGATATTATAAGTACGATCAAACGATGCTAGTGGTTCATGGCTATCCACGAGTGTGGATCCATCAACGTCGCTGATCCACATCTTTTCTACTCTAATAGTCAAAAAATAGTCCAATTTCTCTTTGCTTACTGATTCAATCTATCATTAGCTCTCGATATCTACTCCATAACGCATATAAACTATTCATCAGTCTGATTGGTGGCAATGTAGCAGATAGAAATCTTTCTTCTTCTTTCAAATTCTGCCTATTCCTATTGATTTCCTGTTGGCCCTCGATGTCAGTTAATGGATTCATCTAAGGTAGCCGATACAAGTCTTTCCTTTTTTCAAAACATTCTATCTATGCCTGTTCATCGACTATTGGCCTTCCATCTGCGCTAATCGATTCATCAGTCTGATTGAATGGTAAGGTAGCCGATACAAGTCTATCCTTTTTGATCTACGTTGGCCCTGCATGTCCGCTAACCTATTTATCAGTCGCATTGGACGACAAGGTAGCCGATGGAATTCTTTCTTTTTCTTGAAAAAAGAATAGAACTGTCTTTATCCTTATTGATGTAGCATTGGCCTTCCATGTTGGATAATGGATTTTATCAGTTCCTTTGGACGGTAAGGTAGCCGATAGAAATGGTTTTCATTCATGAAAAAGAACCTGTCCCCATCCCGATTGATTTAGCGTTGGACTTGCATGTCCGATCATGATTAATCTATTCATCAGTCCCGTTGGATGGCAAGGTAACCGATAGAATTCCTTGTTGTTGTTGAACAAAAATGACTGTACCTATCCTTCTTCATTTAGCCTCCCATGTCTGATAATAATAATGTATTCATGAGTCCCATTGGATGGTAAGGTAGCCGATCAAGATGATTCTCATTTCTTGAAAAGTAATATTATATAATAATTTTCCCTATTGATCTAGCGTTGGTCTTCCATGTCCGCTATATATACAATCAGTCCCATTGGACGGTAAGGTAGCCGATGCAAATCGTTCTCATTCTTAAAAATAAATAAATTGTACCTATCCCTACTGATGTAGTATTGGCCTTGCATGTCTGCCAATCTATTCAGTATCCTCATTGGATAGAAAGGTAGGCGACCGACGATTTTCTTGATGGCGAAAAAATGATTTTACCTATCGCAATGGCACTGATGGCGTCCAGTGCGCCATGACTACCGAGTTGATTTAGTGGACAAAAGGATTGTTCTCCCCCCGTATGAAGGAAAGGAAAAAAAAATAGTAGCAACCAATGGATTAAATATCCATTGCTGGACTTATTGAAGGATAGGATACAATCAGAATTCAAAGACGATCTGGATAATTTGTTGAAAGGTGATGATCATTGATACGGATGGAAATTCAACGATAGCCATGATCGGCCATCCAGTCCGGCAACAAGTAAAAGGGAAGCTTGTAATTGACACATTTAATTTTATTTTCATTGATCGCCAGGGGAAATAGAATAACAAAGACTTGACAAATCTTCAAATAGCCAAAGGAAAAACAATTTCTGCTTGCAAAAAATGCTATCGACTGCAATCGATCCTACTGATCCTAGCCAATTCAGCTTGAATTCTATAGCAATGGTCGAGAGAAGACGGATGATGAGTTATCCCAATCCATCCATTCATTTTTTTTTCCCCTCCTGAATTATGACAGTAATCATTTTTTTTTTAGCCCTCCTGCTAGTTTATTAAAAGAATAATAAGAAGATGCTTGATGATTGAATAAGATGGTCAATATTAGACAAGTCCCAGTGTTCAGTTTAGGCTATCCACTGAAGTAGGATATGAATTGAATCGGTAGAGAGGAAAAAAAAAGGCAGAGAGAAAAAAAAATCAATGAAGGAAAGAAAAGATTCCCTTTCTCCTCCGTACTTAGAATATGAATTTGTAATAGTATTGATCTTGTCGACAGCTGCAATATCAATTGGATTTACAGTTATTCTCCTTGAAAATAAAAATGCCTGGATTAGGCGCTATTCTATCTACCAATACTATCATAAGGTAGAAAATACATGGACTAGACTCCATGCAAAAACTGCCTCCATTTTTATAAACTGCAAAAGTCAATGGCATCATTTTCTATCGCTTAACGACAACGATATTCAATACTTGAATTGGAAATTAGCAAGAGTTTTCAGAAAAAAAATTCCAGCCCCAGCTGTTGTAAGGCAATATCCTAGTAATGGGCATGAATTAGCATAGCGTAATCCATCTTGTTAGCATAGTCATCACCATTACCATCAAAAGAGTCCAATTCTACTGTCATCATTATCATGGATTAATTAATATGATTATTCATTGGATATGGAGTCCTACTGGTTTTTACATCGATCCCTGTCCTATTGAAAGGATCGACGGATTGAACATGATGTTTTCAATTAATTGACTACAAGGTTATCGACAAATGGGAGTAGATGTCCATTTATCATGGAAAGGCTAACCATAGAGATAGGCATTACAAGCTCTATCATAGAGTATGGGGGGGGGGGGGGGGGGGGAAAAGCAATTTGAACTTTCATCTGTTTGAAAGTAATGCATTACACCAGTGCCGAAGCAAACTGGAGGAATGGCTGACTATCCATACTGTGGCATCAAAAATGAATGAAATTGCAACTAAATCGCGTATTTTATCCACCTTGGCCTTACAGGATTAAAGCATCAAAGAGCGATCAATGAATTGCTTCGCTGTAAAATCAATCGATCAACTTTCATCCATGTAAGAGTGGTAAAATATTGTCTCTACTACAACAATCTTTCACGTGTGGAGTAGCTACAACGGATGTCAGAAGAGATTGAGTAAAAATAATGTTGACGGCATAACACGGGTGTAAAAAATCATCCAACTCAAAGTAGCGATAGAGAAGATGGTGAAAACTACCATCGCAAGTTATTTTGACCATTTCTAAACATGGTCCAAATAATATTGCCCAATCTAATTTCAATTGCAAATTGGACTAGGACAACAGGCGGATAAATGAAACTATCCAAAATCGAATCCACATTGGAATTGGATTGAGCTAACTACAAGCCAATGTTACATGATGGCTTTGAAACTAGTTCTTGATATCAATTAAGACGATAACACAAAATAAAGTCTAATTCTATGCCAATTTGGGTGTAAAATCAATCTAAAATGTTGTTGATGTAGTAATCCTAGTCTGATAGGAAAGAATAATATTACACAAGTGAAAGATATCCATTGCTTCCTTTTCTCTTCTTTTGGGGGGGGGGGCAAAGTTCAATAGTAATTGCAACTATTATTCCTATTTTTAGACGATTTTAGCGAAATCTTTTTCTCCAATAATTTATTGCTATCAACAAGAGCATTGGATTTTGACTTTTCCATTACCTTGATTGGGAAAATCCCTACTACGCGTACTCCACTCTTGGCCATTTTATTTTTCTTCCATTGGCAGTAAATATAGGATCAAAGGGGGGGGGGGGAAAATGGGAAAACTAAAGGCAGCCTAAGTCGTCATAATAGCAATTCAAATGAAAATACTACGTACTATTTTATCATGAAGACTTTATTGATGTTGAAATCAATAGATCCGACAAGAGTAATACAGCAGGGATATAAAGGAAAAGTAAGAAAATGCCATTTTATTTTCCGCTTTTTCATTTCGGGGGGGGGGGATGTCGACATGATTGCTGTATTAGAATGCGATCTTTTCTATCAATGAGAAAATCATCCATCACCATGATTATGAAATATTAAAATGGTGTAAAAGTCAATCATTGGTTGTTTTCCTATCAAGTGGGTTAAAGATATTGAAAGTTGCTTTTACTGTTGATGTTTTTTCAAAGGCCGATATAGCACTACTGTTGTATGTAGGTGTACCATTTTTTTTTTCTCTGCGAGACAATTACTGTCGATAAAAGGGTTAAAAAACGAAAGAGAAAGGAACTGGCTATCCACCACTCTCTATCTCTGATCAAGGTAGTAGAAGGCCAATCTAAAATAAAAGCCTTGACGACTGAAAGATGATGGGGATAGGAGGGCAGTATTTTTCAAAAGTGTGCCTAGAGGCTCGGGTAGAAAATTGGAAAAATTGGGCATAGACATTTTCTCTGTATGAAAATCATTTTGTATGTGATGTCTAGAATGAGTATCGTTGTTGATCAGTAGGAGTTCAATCTTTTTCGATCTGTTTACCCTTGTCAATGGAATAGTAGAATAGGGGTAAGGGGGAATATTCAAGAAAAATACATACAACAACCGTTAAGAGAGAGAGAGGAAAAAAAAAACCCCCTGGATCGAAACAGTGGACCCCAACAGGGAAATGAAGATTGGAATACCCTATCTTTTGGTGCGTTTCTATGCCATCATGTCTGACTATAACCTTTTTTGGGGGTGATTAAAGTAGACTATTGGACATGAATCAGTAGACACAGTTGATAGAATGGATTGAGAGCATTACCAAGGTGAAATCAACATCTTTCACAAGTGATTGGGGAAAGGATTTAGCGTTATGTTGTGGACTTACCCTGACGGTATTTAATGCACTGTTGAGTTCAGCAACAGAAAATGCTTTACCACTGGATGGATTGGACACGTAAGTGGATGCTGCTGCTTCATCACTTTTACTGTCATAATTTGCTATCGGTGCACGACCAACTGAAAATGGAGAACGATTTCGATGAGATCTTGCTAGCGATGGCATATTGGCAGGCCTTGTTCGATGATTGCTATTGGCCGTGTTGAGTAATGGTGGTGGTGCGCCTGGCGGTGGATGGCCACCGTTGGAATTGCGCTGTTGCTGTTGTTGCCAATTTTGTAATTTCCACGTTGGTGAAGCATTACCAGCATGATTCCAATTGCCACTAATAGGATTGGTGGTGATATTTTTATTCTGCATACTACCGACAGCGTTGACAACGGAAGGTGGAAATGGTTTGCGCCGTTGTCCAGGTGGAACTCGTCGATGATTGTGCTGTTGCTGGTGTTGGCTAACGACCAAGGGTGAAAATTGCGTCAAATGTGCTGGATTATTTAAGGACGATGATGACGATGATGATGGCGGCGTTGCTGTATAAGGAAATGCATGATTAGTGTTGTTATTATTGCTATTATGATGATGATGATGATGATGATTAGGATTGCTGTTGCTACTGCTACTACCACTACCATGATTGCTGCTATTGCTGTTATGGCGGCTATGCTGATTGGAAGTGATGGTTGGATTAACTACGGCAGCGCTTGCAGTTGGCCCAGTGGTCGCGTTGTCATCGCCAGCAGTAGACCAATAAGTTGGCATTGAAGAATCGAGTAAAGCAGTGGAAGTAAATGGTGTTGCAGCATCGTTGTGCTTGTTGCTATTGCTATTGGCATGATGATTGCTATTATTATTATTATTATTATTGCCAGTGGTATTGGCGCTGGAGTTATTGCTACCACTGGTGGCAGAAATCGTCTCGACAGCGGTCGGAGACGATGTCGTTGTGCTATTTTGCATAGCCACTAAAGGATAGTGATGACGAGGACTTGGATTGCTACGATGATGGTGTGGACTGCCACTTTCCAGTTCTCTTGCTTGAATGTCGATCGTCAATGCAGTCTTGTGTTGGCGATCGATTGGTTGTGGATCACTACTTGTAGGATGATTTGGATCAATTGGCGATGAATCAATACTGGAGTCGATAATCATACAATAAATTGTTTGATTTAGCCAAAGAGGAATTTCACTTGCAGTACAAGGTATTTCGGTTGAAATGGCGCTTTGCTTTTTCTTGCCAACAAGAAATGATAGTGAATGGATTGTCTGATAGGAATGATGATAATTTCTTTCTGTTATGACTGTGCTATTTCTTGGACTAGGATCGGACATGGAAGAAATCCTCCAATCTGTTCCATCAGTTTGAACGTGGAGAGAGAGAGAGAAAAAAAATACAATATTAATTTCTACGTACACATTGTTGGACTAGCTAAAGGTACGCGCATTGTTACAGTTAATTAATCCATCTCGATTTGGTGTGTGTATGACATATAGACATTGATCGATAGTTTATGCAAGAACAAGTGGAAGGAGAGAGAGTGAATAACAAGTCGCCCCCCTCCCAAAAATGAAGATCATCTCCATTTTTAAAAATGCAACAAAAACGCTCAACAGAAGATCCTCCAGTACAGTAGTGCATTTTGGGGGTTGCTTGGCAAGATGTTGTATCAAGTTATGGCGTGGATCAACAATAAAAGTGAGAAAAAGTCATACCGTATGTACATTACAAGTGGATGACGATTGTATAAACTGGAGAGAAAAAGCCACTTGACGACTAATGGATGTATAGTCAATGAAACGGCTTATACCTCGAGGAATGACAAGATAGTCATGATCGGCTGCATTACAAGATTGGATGGCGACATGAGAATTGAATGATCCAGTTGGGGTACTGTGCGATCATGTTGGTATTGTATGACAGAATTGCTGTCCATTTCACAGCTGGTGTTTTTTATTGGATCCATGAGTAGCGCGCACCTCCAATCGATTCATGGATGTTATTTGTCTATTGGATTAGGAATTGACGACAACTGTCGATCGTTATTGCTGATCGTCCAACTGGTATTCAAGCATCAAGACTACTTGGTCAATGTGGACTAGGGTATGATGATGATGATCAACCGATGATTGATTATCACTTTCTCACTCTCTCTCTTGTCCCCCCTCGGCATGTCCAAGACTGTCATGGCAGTATTGCCGAAAATGGTCGGCGTAGACGGCTACAAGACACTACTATCATCGATCCTCTCCACTTGAAAAAATGAATGTGCTATGACAAGTGGAAAGTGCGACAGCTCGTCGACTGTATGCATCGATTGCTGAACACCAACTGGGACAAAAAAATGAAGAGAAAGGGAAAAAAAAAAAAAAGATTGAAAACATGACACAAGAATGAATTGCACACATGGATGATCCAATGGCCAGTTGGATGGTAAGCGCATACCTAGACCGTATTGATTTGCTAGCGTCCCCAAGCCAATGGATGTTGATCTCCGTAATAGGAGGAGAGCAATTGCGTTGTTGAAAACGTTGGAAATGGCCGCGTCTCCACTCAACTCTCTCTCTCCCTCGACCGACGATGTAAATCAATTGAATGCAAGACACCAAGTAGGAAAATGCCAATGTGAAGTTTCCAAGATAGCAGGTGCGTTTAAATATTCTTCCAATTAATGAAACAACAAAACAAAGAAATGGAGAATCATTTTTATATTTACAAGCTGGATTGGAAATTGAAGAGGGTTATTATTATTTTCAATTTGCAGTATTGTATGTTGAGGTGGAGCCAATGGCAGTGGCCAGCGCTAGTCACATGATGCATGCAGTCTAGTTTCAACAATAGCCTGGCCAGCAAATCATCTGTGACAGCAGTAGGCTCTCATTCATTATGACGATTGGACTCTACTGGCGCTTACAGTGGTTGCTACTGTAAGAAATGGATACCAGCGTAAGGCTGCGTCTACAGTCTGCAGTCCAGGACTGTAGGCCACAGTACTTGGACATGGGACATCTTCTATTTTTAGCACCGGCCAATCTTTTGTTCAACACCACTGGCTGAATGAGGCGACACATCCCAGTTTTGTACCATACCGTACTACAGTGTCTTATACTGTACAGTAGACACGCGTACTGTAAAAAGTGCAAGGAAATCCAATTCATTTTGCACCACATGACGGATAAATCGGATCAGCTTCCATTGCATTTTCTCCTTGACCAATCCAATTT